TTAGTGCTATGTTTGTGCTGATTTGTGCAGGTAAAATTAGCGTTTGTGCTGCTGCGGTTTCTGAGATGTGCTCTTATGGTATTACTGCTGAAAAATGTCTTTTTCAAACGACTTTTCGCTTTGTGTGTTCATTTGTTCAATAAAGTTCTGTTGAAAAAAACTCTTCTTATTGTATTTAATCAGCTAAATTTGTAATGAGTCTAGTTTGTTTTTGTTTGTTTTTTACTTCAATTTCTTTACTTCAGTCGCTTTTCGTTCATAAAACTACGATCCAAATGCTTGAGGATTTTTTTTTAGAGTGGATTAAAAAAAACTTTTTTGAAAACTACATTTGAACATTTTACACTCCCAAGAACACGTTTTGAAAAACGAACACGCTAGCAGTCTTTTGCATCGAATACACATTTTTTTTGGCAGAAAAAAGTATTATTTGGCATTACTGTGTCTGAAGGATTCTTAGAACAGCGTGTTAAATCTGATTTCTGAACAAGGTAAGCTTACATTTAAAATCCTGAGGTTTTAGTTACTGAGTTAATACATGATATAGCTAACTGTCTGGATCAAAGGGATTTTTTTTTTCAGTGTTAAACATTTTCAAAAATACAGCAATTGCAAATTTGCAAATCCAAGAAAACTTAAAAAAAATGTTTCTAAAGCACTTTAAAGACATTCAGTACACTGGACTAAAGTGCTGTACAGTACATATTAATGGGTTAAACACTCAGACTCAAGTCTCAAGCACTGCATCAAGATTATATGCCAGTGGGACTGCCTGAAGAAGAAAACACAACGTGTTAAACATTTCTTTGTCAGGTCATTAGCAAAACTTCTTCAGTCACAATGCTTGGACCATGTAAAACAGCTCCTACAAGCTATCACTGTTGTGGCCCTCAGTGAGGCAGAAGGTGATGACAGTTCTGGAGCCCCTCTTCCTTCAGAAAGGTGCAAGAAATACCTGAAAGCCCAAATTGCTCAAGACTCCATCATCATTCCAGATGAACAGACAGAGGAAAGTGAGAGAGTGGATTCAGTGGATGAGATCCAGACTGACCTACGACACTGGGTAACAGAAATATGTGAGGAGAGCAGGTCACTTGCTGCAGCAAATGGGGATAGAGATAATATTCACGTTCTCCCTGAGATTATTCCTCATATAATAAGAGTGGCAAGTTACTTGCCACTCTGGACAGGAATAATGGTCCCTCTCTTCCAAAGCACCAGCATCACAGCAAGTTCAGCCACTGTTGAAGCTGAGTTCAAAAACATAAAACATGGCCTTTTCAAACATGAAAACTTGCCTGTTCGAGTCGATCGCTTCATTGCTCGTCATCTTTCCTTCATCGAGGGAAATATGCGGATTTGTTCTGCAAAAGAAAAGATCAAAGATGAGGCAACAGTGGGATCACTGAAAGTCACAGATGCCAATTCTGGATCCATGACGACTCACAGTGCAGAAGACAAAATAAAAATGGATGCTCACCTGTTTGTGGGGTCTGATGCTGCCACAAACATTCCTCCGGCTGATGAAGATGCAGTTGAGAACTGGAGGGGCCTGACTGTTCCGCCCAAAAAAAGGAAGAGGACTTCCTACCTCTCTCCATGTACCGAATGGCTCCATGCAGATGAATCATTTGGGGCCAAAAGAGTGAAGGTGGGATTATTAAAAAAATGGAAACCTTCATCAGCCTATTAGATTAGGGGAATCAACAATCTCTGTGCTCAATACCTGTGCATTTGATGCATTTTTTCAGTGCTTTTGTTGTGCCTTCTGTGACAGCTCCACATTTCAAAGTGCTGTTCTGAAGGACAGTGAAAACCCAGTCCTGCAGCTGGTGGAAGCTATTGCCACAGATGGTGTGACCCAACAAACCTACAGGAGGAGAGCAGAGCTGCTTAGTGTAATGTTTGAAGCTGTCTCGTTGAGGTCTGGTGCGATTCAAATCGATGCTCAGTGCAATATCTCCGCTGTAATTGCTAAGACAATGAGGAACATATCAAGTGTTTGTTTTACCAAACACTGCTCTTCACAGCACTGCTACCTCAGCAAAGGGATGACAAGGGAAGTGCCATTTGTTTCTCCTGCCATCTCTGTTCTCAAAGAGTCTGGTATGGCACATCTTGGCACTGCTGTGGAAGCAGGACTTGGCCTACCTGAGTCTACCTGCCTCGGGCCACTCTCCAATCCATCTCTGTGTCCATCACAATTCAAAACAGAAGACAGCACCACAGGAAATGAGCTCTGTGCAGGGACAGTTACTCACAGCTACAACATTGGAGATATCGTGTGGATTGATACTGATCTTGCAAACCAAACAGAATTTCCATTGAATGAATTTCCCTCCAACCTGGTTCTCCAAGGAAAGTTGTTCACTTTAAGGGGAATTAATTGCTTTCCATGGAAAGATGACCAGTGATGGTTTGGGGCATTACACTGCATACTGCAGGAGAGCTCCATGTGTGTGGGAGTGCTATGATGACCTGGGAAATGGAGTGACAGGAGCATCTGAAAAGAACAAAATACAACCCCATGCTGTGTTATACTAGGGGTGGAGGAAAAAATCGATTCTGTGTAGTATCGTGATATTTTGTTTGCTAACAATGTATCGATACAGGAACAGCAGAAATCGATATTTTGTTACAAAAAAGTTTTTGTGCTCTAACTTCAGAGCATGTTGATCCTTTTTCTGAGCAAAAATCCTGACATTCCTTCACTGTCCAAATGTGTTTAACTTTTTTTGGCAGCAATAAATATGACAGTTTACTTATTTTAATTTAAGACATGTTTTATTTTAATTAAGTTTAAAACTTTTTTTATTTAATGTAAAATCATATTTTGTTTTAATTTACTTTCAAATTCTTCAGTTGCTGAAGGGGCTGCATAGTTTTCATAAATTGCATAGTTCAGAATAGCTATAATTGTACCAGATGGTTGCATTCAGTTAAGTTGGGCTAGACTGTAATACAAACCGTTCAGTTTGTCAACAATAAAACTGACTGAAATGAGAGAAAGACTGAGTGTGAGACTTTGATATTAGATTAAATGAATGTGTGTGTGAATGGGTGGATGACTAGATATGTAAAGCGCTTTGGGGTCCTTAGGGACTAGTAAAGCGCTATATAAATACAGGCCATTTACCATTCAAGTATTGTGATAATATCGTATCGTGGGATGTATGGTGATTCCCACCTCTATGTTATACACAGTATAATGAGTGCTGCCTGCATTTTTCTGTTTTATTTGGTTCATTACAGTTACATGTGTTCAAATGGCTAGTGTGTGTTATCAGTAAGTTCAGTTTTGCATATAAAGTTAAAGTTCTAAATTAAAAATCTTTTAACACTCTTTTGTCAGTCTGATGTATATTTGCTTTACACACCCATTCACCTTCACCTGTAGCCTTGAAAGTAATCGTTCCATTCTTCTGTCAATAATCTTTCTGTATTTGTTTTGTGTTGACCTCGTGGCTTAAGTCAGGGGTCAGCATCCTTTTCAGTTCAAAGGGCCCCTTTTGCCCCTGCTGCTACAAAACGTGTCTAGAGCCTTAAAAAAAGAAAGCGCTTATAAATATCTAAAAAAAAATGAGTTGTTGTATCGTGTAAGCTACAGAAATGTAAATAAAAATGTTTATCTTTAGATTTTATAAGAAAATGAATCATCTAACAACGGAAAAAATATTTGTTAAAATGAAGCTAAGTGAGTCCTTTCCATAAAAATTGAAAATTAGGAAAGATGGGCAACCAACTTGAAAATTACAGCAAGCAGTTTTGAAGCTAAGAAACATTAAATCACTTTGCACCTTGTACATTCTGTGAATAGTCAATGCAGATATTTCATAAAAAACTAACTGTTAACAGAACCCTTTCTTGTTGTCTCTATAACAAAACATAACTTACTTGGTCTTTTAAGAGCCACAGTGGAGGGGCCAGAGAGGCACATGTGGCTTTAGAGCCGCAGGTTGAAGATCCCTGGCCTAGGTGCTGTAGAATATAAAATTTTCTACATGTAGGTGGCAACCTATGAAAGCAAACACCTTATTTCTTCTAAGACGGCTACATTAATAATAATGAACATATATAACTCAAAACAAAATCATAGAGACAAACTGGGTATGTAAAAAATAATAATAATAATTTAGGTATACGTGAATCACTTCACATGAAACTCAGTTTTCCACAGAAAAAAAATAAACGTTTCTGCACTGGTAACAAAAGAAATATCGACCCTTCCGACTAAATTGTGTTACTAGAGTTTGAACTAATAAAACTTAATATGCAGCAAGCCTAAGAAAAGTGGACAGTCTTCTATAAACGTGCAAAACTCCACAGCTGCTGAAACTCACTGCCACAGACACTGGTGTTATACAGCATAGGCCGTAAGAATTAAAATCATTATATCTTAGAAACCATAGCAGCACAAACGCTAATTTTACCTACACAAATGTAACACCAACCGCTCCGCCTATTTGCCTTTACGTTTCAAGTGGGTGGGGGGTCAGCTTCACTCTGCTATATTTCCATGGCATGTGTGACATCAATGGGAAACGTTTTTCATGCCCTTTCCACCAGTGGAAATCAGCAGATCATCTTCTCCATCTACGACCTCCTCGCTGAGATAACAGTCCATTTCTGTCCGTGCCTTCTCCTCCAGTGTGCAATTTGTTTGTCCATGTTTGGACTTCTGTGTTCTAAACACGCAAATCAGTCTGTGCATGATTTCACTGCTCCTCTCATCAAAACTTTTGTGCAAGAAAAATATATCACCTATTGCCGGTTATTGGTCTGATGATTGCCGGTTGGAAATTTTTTATTTATTTTTACATATCACCACACACACACACACACACACACACACACACACACACACACACACACACACACACACACACACACACACACACAATGTGACAGCCACAAAAGAGGAAAAAACAAAAACAAAAACCCAGAAACTCTTGTGTGAACCTAATGGAGGGCAACATGCTGCTCCACAAAGACAACAAAGACAAGTTTCTACTTAAACTTTATTCAGTTTTTTACTGATTCCAGCATTTAAAACACGATCACATAAAACAGTTTCCTTCACAGGGTTCACGTCATAAAACACAAGACGAGATCACACCAGCTGGTCCCACACAGCCTCAGGCAGTGCACCAGAAGTAAGTGCACATCCTAAAAAGCCTGTGACCAAAATTATGTCCACATACTTTTTGCTGGAGTTGGACTTTAAATCCAGCAACTGACCTGTTCCTGCGATCCCATTGGTCCAGAATGTAAACTCCACCCTCCTCAGTGTGAACCATCAAAAATAAAGTAATCACAACAGTAGAGACGTTCTTATGTCATCATCAGCACATGTGGCAAGTGCTAAGATGTCGACTTAAAGTGAAGTGAAACGAGTCGAGGCTCCGCCCCCACCTTCAGTCAGCAGTAAGGCAGCAGGTGGCAGCGGCGTTAAGGCCAACGGTGACTCAACTGGCCAAACAGATCATGATGCTTCAATTTAAAACAAAGTCAAGTGACTGCTTCTGACAAAAACAAAAGTTAAAATTTCATTTGATCAACATCGAGCTCCGACTGGCTGATTCAGATAATAATAATAATAACAATAATAATAATAATTTTCTAAATATCTTAAAACGTAAACATGAAGTAAAATTTAACCAAAAAAAAAAAAAAAGCTTTTGATTTGCTCTGTACATACAACAAATCAAAACAGCTCCTAATCAATCAATTCCTAGTAGTCAAAGAACTGATTACATCCTGCCTTCTGATTGGTGGCCCAGCTAATGAGCTGCTAACGATGCTAAGCTAACAAAACGGGGAAAAAAAGTGAATTGGCCAATCAGAAGACAACTAGCTTGTCGTTTGTTGCCAACTACAGTATGATGTGACATTACCATTTTTACCAGGTAATGCTGTAATTTAGTGTGTCGTGCTAATTAGCTAACTTGGTGTTTAGTTCTATTAGCACACAGGCCAGCATGCTAATACTGAGTGTTAGCGAGCATTCATAGTGCTAAATAGCATGAATGCTAATGGCAGTGTTCTGTGATGTCAACAACCACCGCCTTTCTCCAACTAAACAGGAAGTAGCCCATTCCAGCACCAGCTGCCACAGCAATACAGAGGTAACCGTTGTAGGTCATGAAGACGAGCATCAGGAAGTAGCTGACGACCACCTGGATGATGTGCAGCAGGGTCTGTAGGAAGTGGGCGGGGCTCAGCATGCGCTGCCTGAGAGGTCAAGAGATAAGACTTAGCATTAGCATCAGCATGCTAAATAATATTACCCTTCAATACTTGTAGCCCTGTTAGCATTAGTATTGCTTTTGCTTATAGCACTTAACACATTATAATAAGCTTAGAGTTAGCATGGAACCTGATGACTGAAACATCTTTGGATTGCTAAAAGTATCCTAAGCTAAAATTGTGTACATTACCATGGATTAGTGTTAGCAGTTAGCATCAGCAGTAATAAAGTTAACATGTTTTAAAGTTAACATCATGCACAAATGACAGCGACCAAAGTCTTATGGTGACTTACGGTGTTTAATGTTCACAAAGACAAAACATGTATTTATTTGTAAGACTTAGCCCACCACTAGCTTTAGCCTGTCCAGAATCAGAACTAGAATTATTACAGTTAGCATCATCAGCTTCCCAGTGTCACAGAGCAAGACACCACATGCAGGCAGGAAGTCCTCCACCACTGTTAACCCTTTAACATCCACCCGCATATGATTAGATTAACATTGACATTTGAGTCAACTAAACCATTAGCAGGTGTAGGACATCCTGTATGAGAACCTGCAATTAGAAGCTGCATAGAAGTCTGAACAGCCTGATCAAAGCAGACAGACAGACCCACCTAGGACAAGAACCTGAACCAAAACCAGAACCCAAACCCATTTACCTGGGAAATAATTCCACGAAGCGGGAGTTACTCATGACAGGAGGCACCGCCCCCTCCAAATGTTGGCTGCCAATCAGTAAAAATTAGTGTTTACCATGAGGTAAATGACTAGGAATTCTGAGAGACCGACACCTCCTACTCCTCCTTCTTCTCCTGTTTAACGGTTACCGTTAGCAACGTACCCAACCGTCTTGTGCGTCTCCATCAGCACTGTCCCATCAGCCCCGGGGAGTGGCATGGAGTTGTAACGGACGTTGACCTGACTACGACGCAGAAGAACCTCACGACCAATCTTCAACCCCTCGTACAGGGCGGCCAATAGGAAGACACCAATACATGCCCCCACCATCTCTGATTACGTCAAAGGAAGAGGAGGTGGAGTTAACAAACAGTTAACAGATCCAGTTATAAAAAACACATTCAAAATTCATACTGCAAGCAAAATTTCTAAAAGTCTAAATTTAATCATAATCTACATAAAATGAAAAATCTGAAAAACTAAACGTATTCAATTTAGTACAAAACGCATTTTTATACATAACCCTAAAGCTATACAGATATAACTACAAATGTAAATATAATATTAAAATCATTATAAATTATAAAATAAGAACAAAATAAGCACACAAAAAGAATTTAAAAAGTCTTCAAGTTTATTATCAGAGGAAATAAAGGATCTTAGCCACAATTGTGCCGGTGACATCACTCACCTCCAGGTGAGTTGATGAGCAGACCGGTGAACAGCAGCTCCACGTTATTGTAGCCGAAGTAAAATGTCATCATCTAGTTAACAACAGCATGACATCACACAGAGACCTTTCACTACATCATCTATGACCTGTTATTAGCAGTGATAAGCCCCACTTCTTACCATCATGTGACCTCCATGGTTCCCTTCCCCTCCTCCTCCTCCAGAGCCGTGGTCGTGCTCTGAGCTGGTGGGCGGGGCCATGGTGCTGTGATTCATGTGGTGATTCATGTGGTGATTCATGGCTGCTGTGAGACGAGACAAGAACCATCATCATCATCATCATCACGAACACCACCACTACGCTCTTTGGACTATAGCTCCCACAATGCTTTGGAAGCAGGAACATTTAGTGAACATTTCAAAATTAAAGTATCTGAACTCTGTGTGAGCAGACCAAATCAAGACATCAGTCGCCTTTGTTTCGCAGGTATGATTGAAACCACTGCAGAGCGGTACCTGTAACTTCTACAGCATGGTATGATAAAATATTATGGTCAACGGTATAGAAACAGCTCTTCTGGTCTGAATCGTGTCTGATCAGGATATTGATCACTGACCTTATTGGCTTCTGATTATGAAATTATCGGAAAGAAGTGGTAACTATAAAGCTGAATAAACACTGGTCATGTGACTGAGTCACATGCTCGTGGTTACCACAAACTGTATATAAAAGATAGATGTCAATGTGATATCACCCGTCCCCGTTTTAGCTTTTAGGCACTAAGTGAGGGTGCTGCTTGCTCCTCCTACAGCCATCTGTCATTCACCAGTAGCCCCACCCCCAGAATCCTGCCCTGCTGCCTTATTGGTGCGTATTTGAGAGAATATTTGAAAGTCTTTGTTTGGAATTAAACAAATTATGGTTTATTGCTGTGATGCAGTCAAGGTGCGTATGTCGTCTTTGAAATCCTCTCAGGTGTGGCAGTTACGCACGCTCTCATGACGAGGCCGCTGCATCTGTAGACCGACCTGCCTTCTGTAGATCTGTTGCAGCCTGTTTTACCGTCGCCTTTGCAAACCTCTGCATAAGAAATGAGCGATGTGTATCTATGGAAACGACCCGCTGCGCCGAGACTGCTTTGTGGCATGTTAGCACTGCAGCTGCCGCCAGTGGGGCATCAGGTTTAAGCCACCCTCACCAGCCTCAGAGCGAGCTGATGATCTTCCTCAATGCCAACTCCTCCTCTCCAGCTGAGCGTCATCGTTAGCATCCATGCACGGCAACACCTGAGCTCACCTGTGCGGTTAAAATAAAGCTAAAGCAGCTGCTCTCCTACCTGTTCTTCCTCAGCGATCCTCGCTCGTCCATGCACAGACACCAACTGACCACTGGTGACATCACCACAGCACATCAGTTCGCCAACAGCTGTAACTTCAGCAACAGCCTGATGTCACAGAACAGGCGCCCTCACTGTAATCCGATTGGCCGTGAGGCCCCGAGGCTAAGGAAAGCAAAACCAGCCAGTCGGAACACTCTGAGCTGGCGTCTGCCATCAGCCAATTAGATTACAGCATCGTTAACATTAAGGGGAAGGTTGGTAATTGCCGTCAGCAACCATTAAACCCCAAGTCATGTTTGGGCAGGCCGCCTCCTCTCTCTCTCTATTCAGTGCCTCTGTCTCTCGCCCTCTCTCTGACATTAGTTTTGGTTCATTTTAGTTTTTTCCACTCCGTTTGTTTTGTTGTTGTTTTATATTTTATTTATTTTTAAATGATCTTTTATTTTCAGCTGTGGTGGAGGAATTTCAGCTCTGGGATCAATAAAGTTTATCTTATGTGACCTTTATCACTGATCAGCTGAGGTTTGGTGTCAATAAAGTTTATCTGACGAGTGAAGAGGCGTGCACCTGTGCACATGTAACAGCTGAACGTAGAGCACGTATGAACAAATCAAACCCAATCTCTGTCACGTTTCTATGGGAACCCAGAATTCTCACTTCCTCTTCTGTTGTTGTTCTTCCCGCTTGAACTCGTCTGGATGCCTCGCATGATTCCCGTGGCGTTCTCTGCACAAACAGGAAGTGGGGCACATTTTCTTGGTTCACAGATGCAAAGTCCCACTGACATACTCCAAAGCTGAGGAAGTCAGATCAGACATGAAACGTGTGTTTGGACACAGCGAAACTCCTGCTTCCTGATGATGTCATCACCTGTGATATCTGTCCAGAATAAACGTCCACAGAAGCACGGTGAGGGCACGGAGGACACCGCGCAGCGTTTCAAGTTCACACAAAAAAGAAACAGGATGGGACGAGGAGACGCCCTTTTCATCTGAGACGTTTGCAGAGGAGGTGGAGCTTCTCAGCTTTTCCGACAGCAGACCATCCATCGGCCAATCATGCCATTCTCTGTTACCTCTGACTGAAAGGCCTGCAGCACCGCATCAATCAGAACTTTTCATGACTCAAACTGATCAATAATGCACAGCAGCGGTCTGAACGTCAGTTTTCACTCTGAACAAAATGGGCACTTCCTGTGACATCAATTCAGTATTAAGTTAATTCATTTAGCGCCAAATCACAGCAAGGTGCTTCATACTGTAAGGTAGAGACCTACAATAACACCCACCAATCAGCAAGCACTTGGCAACAGCGGGAAAGAAAAACTCCTTTTTTTACAGGAAGAAATCTTGGGCAGCACCAGGCTCAGCGAGGAGTGGCCATCTGCCGCAAGGGGAGAAAGACTTCATGCTTCAGCGTGGCGACAGGAAAGGTCAGGTGTCTCACTTCAAACACCAGCAGGTCGACTGCTCTGCGTTCCCCTGTGTGACCATCAGTGCAGGTGCAACCACACAGGATGTTACGCCTTTCACACATTTCAAAATAAAACTAACTCAATTCTTCATCTTTACCTGCTGTTTTCACTGTGAATCCTGTGCTCTGATTGGCTGATCTCAATTTATTTAGAAATTCTTACCTGCAGGACAAAGTGACGGGTGATCGAGCTCTGAAGAAACTGAAACAGCGAGAGAGACACAGAGACTTTAACAGCAGATAAAAGCTGATTACACGACAACCTCCAGCCAGTCATAGGCTGGCTCCACCATCAGACAGCCAATCAGCTTTGAGCAGGCTGAACTCTGACTGCTTCATTCTGTCCCTCTCTTTCTCTCTCACACACACACACACACGCACACACAGCAGGAACCTTGATGAACCTGGATCCAGGTGAGAGGTGGATCACCTGTCTGAGGGTTCAGTGTGGGGCCTTACAGGATTGAACATCTCTGATTGTATTATTATACATTAAAGAATTCAACCAAACTTAATGAATGTGATTCAAGGGGCATCTTGAATCGAATGTGAATCAATAATCAATGACAAGTGTGACTGCAGCTCAGCAGGATAAGCTCTGAGCTGACTTTACCTCCTCTAAGGCTCTGACAGAAGTTTGGAGCAAGGTGATTGGACATCAGTGTTACCCACACTGTGAAAGCTCTGCTCTGATTAGGTGGTCTCTGCTGGTCCTGATGCGGCTGACATCACATCCTGTTCCTGCAGATGAGCAAAGTGACTCATCGCTTCTAGCACTTATCCACCAGCTGAACTGAGCTCAGTGAAGCCAGCCCTCGCTGCTGCAGCAGACCTCCAGTCAATCATTCACACCCTCCTCAGCTTTGACCCCAGCAGTCACATAGCACTTTAATTTCAGTTCACATAGTTCAGGAGGTCCTACAGAAAAAGAACCCGAGCATGGCGGGTTCATGCCAAAAAGGTGTGACTTTATGGAGGTCAAAGGTCACACAGCAAGAATCAGACACATGAGGTTAGAATCAGCTGGCAGGTAAAACGACAACAACCTCCAAAACACCTGATCAGAAGAAATCAATCATCATAACCAACACCGCTGACCCACACCTGATGGCTGACTCACCGTGTGCGCACAGTCAGCAGTGATCAGACATCAGGACTGCATCAATTCTGCAATCTACTGACAGGCGAGCAGGAGCTGCTGCAATACTTAGGGCAGAGATCAGAGGTTATCCCTGTGTGTGTCTTCTGCTTTGATTCCTGTAAAACCCCGGTTGTCAAACATAAGGCCCGGGGGCCAGAATCAGACTGGCAAAGACTGCAGTCTAGCTCACTGGATGGCACTGGTATATCTGAACAATGTCTGCGTGGAGTTCAGGGATTTTGGACTTTTAACTGTATTTTCGAAGCTTTACAGCTTTTCTGCTGGTAAAGAGCTCCTCCCACTCTCATTCACGCAACACCACAGCAAATACATAACAGAAAAACAACTGAATGACAGAAACGTTCTTCTGTCAGAGCCACAAGAAAACAATAGTAAAGGAAACTCTTCAGTTATGTAATTACAGGAGGATCTGTGTAATAAGCTACCAGAACCAGAACTTTCTCTGAATTTTACACATTTATTAATTTATCCTGGAAGATTTCATGTCATTATCTTTATCAGCAGCATTGTATTATTATATTTAAAAATGATACATCCTGTTGAACATGCACTCCTTTTCTCACATTCACTGAGATCAAATGTGATGTTGGACTTCTTCACACCAAAGCTTCTCTGGTTTAAGATCAAAGCTGCCAGCATGGAGTCTGACAGGCTACAGAACTTCCCTGACCTCTTGAAACTGCGTGTGTGAGTGTGTGTGTGTACTCGTGTGTGTGTGTGTGTCAGTGAGTGTGTGTGTGTGCACTCGTGTGTGTACTCGTGTGTGTGTGTGTGTGTGTGTTCGTGTGTGTGTGTGTGTGTGTGTGCACTCGTGTGTGTGTGTGTGTGTGCACTCGTGTGTGTACTCGTGTGTGTGTGTGTGTGTGTGTTCGTGTGTGTGTGTGTGTGTGTGTGCACTCGTGTGTGTGTGTGTGTGTGCACTCGTGTGTGTGTGTGTGTGTGTGTGTGTGTGTACTCGTGTGTGTGTGTGTGTGTGTGTGTGTGTACTCGTGTGTGTGTGTGTGTGTGTACTCGTGTGTGTGTGTGTGTGTGTGTGTGTGTGTGTGTGTGTACTCGTGTGTGTGTGTGTGTGTGTGTGTGTGTGTGTGTGTGTGTGTATTTCCAACATAAACCTGAGAAACTGGTTCTACAGTCAGAAACAAAGAGAGAGTGTGTATGTTCTAGGGGTGGGGGAAAAAAATTGATACTGTGTAGTATCGTGATATTTTGTTTGCTAATAATGTATCGATACAGGGACAGCAGAAATCAATATTTTGTTACAAAAAAGGTTTTTATGCTCAGAGCATGTTGATCCTTTTTCTGAGCAAAAATCCTGACATTCCTTCACTGTCCAAATGTGTTTAACTTTTTTTGGCAGCAATAAATATGACAGTTTACTTATTTTAATTTAAGACATGTTTTATTTTAATTAAGTTTAAAACTTTTTTTATTTAATGTAAATTTATATTTTGTTTTAATTTACTTTCAAATTCTTCAGTTGCTGAATAGGCTGCATAGTTTTCATAAATTGCATAGTTCAGAATAGCTATAATTGTACCAGATGGCTGCATTCAGTTAAGTTGGACTAGACTGTAATACAAACCGTTCAGTTTGTCAACAATAAAACTGACTGAAATGAGAGAAAGACTGAGTGTGAGACTTTGATATTAGATTAAATGAATATTGATAAAGTTTAACTATATGTACAGAATCTGAATATTGCAAAATATTTTTTTAAAAATCGCAATAATATCGTATCATGCGTTAAATATTGTGATAATATCGTATCGTGGGATGTATGGTGACTTCCAGAGGTGGGACCAAGTCATTGTTTTGCAAGTCTCAAGTAAGTCTCAAGTCTTTATCCTCAAGTCTCAAGTCAAGTCTCAAGTAATGTCAGGCAAGTCAGAGTCGAGTCTCAAGTCACTGGTGTAAAAGTCCGAGTCAAGTCACAAGTCTGAAACTTTGAATTTCAAGTCCTTTCCAGTCTTTAAAAAAAAAAACGAAAAAATAATGTTGCAGTTATGCTAAATGTAAATATTAGACCATGTAATTTTAAAATCTGTGTTTTTCTCAACACATGACAAAATAGTGAACTTAGAAAATGTACACAAATTGTGAAATTGCACCTCTTTAAAATGCAGCTCAATTAAACCTAGCTCCAAGAATAATTTTCACCGACAGTTCTGAGATAAGCTGCATGTTGTTCTTGGATGCGGTTGTAGGACCAGCTTTAAAATCCCATGACAAAAATATCATACACATTAAAAAAAACTGCATCACCAACGTAGCCTGGACAACATTTGCTAGTTAGATGAAGTCAGCTATCTCATCTTAGCATATTTATAATCATACGGTTCTTGGAGTGAGTGCATACACTCATGAAGTTTAGTAACTTCAGGTCACTGCAACAAGCCCAGGTACAGTTTACCGACGGATGGGTAGTAGTAGTAGTGGAAATAATTTCTGGTACCCATCACAGAAATGTAGCAGTGACAATAATACTGTATGCTGTAATCGCACTGGGCAATTAGTGATACAAAACAACTGTTTTATCCTGTGAATAAAAGTATATGTTTTTGTCAATGTACCATAATAACAGAAGCGAAACGCAATATTGTGTCAGGACAATTCACTATTTATGCGCAATAAATAAAGGAGCATAGCGCGACAATTTCTGTTCAGCGCCAGACTTGCTTGTAACCTGTATTACCAATTATGTTAAGAAAAATGACGTATTAACTACTACAAAACTCTGACCTTCGTGTAAATGCTTGGAGCAGACTAACCTGTGAGCTGGAGTGTTCTGGGACGTTATATTTGATCATTGAATGGCTGCAATCCAGGCCATCCGTCGCCTCTTTGTTACTTCGGAAACATGGCTCGAACAATTTCTCTTCCACGACGTAATCCGATAACAACCGATCTCTTTACCCGTCGGCTTCCCGTGGCTGTCATGCGACCGGCTATTGCAGTTAATAATACAACAGCTTCTTGACATTTTTGTGTTTCTTTTTATCGCTGTATAACTGATTTTAATTGAAAGCCTGCGTGCGTTAGTACCTCTTGCCACGAGTTCCCAGAATCCTTTGCGGTTCTACCCCGGAATGACATCACATTTTCAATCTCTATATAATATGCATGTTAAATTTTATATTTGGGGTAAAATATCAAGTCTTTTCAAGTAAACCGGTTCAAGTCCAATTCAAGTCCCAAGTCATTGGTGTAAAAGTCCAAGTCAAGTCACAAGTCTTAGAACATTTTTTCAAGTCAAGTCTAAAGTCATAAAATTAATGACTCGAGTCTGACTCGAGTCCACACCTCTGGTGACTTCCACCTCTAGTATGTTCCCAGCATAACTCTGAGCAACCGGTTCTACAGTCGTGTGTGTGTACATGTTTTGACATCTTTGTGAGGACAGAAAATTGGACAAAATGCCTGTGAAGCTCAAAATGTGGTTTTAGTGTCAGGGTTACAATTGGGTTATGGTTAGGTTTAGGCTGAGGGTTAAGATTAAGCATTCGTTTAGATGGTTAGGGAAAGCATTATGTCAATGAGATGTACTCACGAACATATGAAAACGAGTTTGTGTGTGCGCGCGTGCGTGTTCATCACTGTGAAAACACCGTCTCGGTGTCTTCACAGTGATGTTATCTGAGGTCACGCCGTGGTTTGAGGACGTCAGGTTTGTTTCTTCTTCTCTGTCGGATTATGATCCAAGTGTTTTTGTCGCGTGTAGAAGACACACAGAATTCCAAAAGGTTGATTCTGTTCATCTGGACGTAGCGTCACCCATCCAGGTGACATCCAGTCTCAGCTGACTGCAGGGTTCGAAAACACACACAGACACTCAGGTGAGTGGAATCCCTGAGGACACCTGGCCACTTACAGCCGCCGTGTCCATGTACACGCGCGTGCACGTGGCAGACTGCACCTGCTGTGCCGCTGCGTGTTGCCTTCGCCAATCACAGTTCGTCACCAAACTCCCTTTGAAATCTGTGGAATTCTGGAAGCAAAGCGGGCGGCCACGACAGCGGATCTGAGGGGTATTCACGTCACACAGCGGGGGGGTTCACAAGGACCTGAACTCTGAGGGGAGGGCTGCACAGAGCCGGAGTAATCACGCAAACCTCCCGTTTCCGACCCGGTTGCTGGTTCCGATCTCGGACCTGCCCGTTTACCGTTAAAGCTCACCTTTCTTAAACTGAAGTTTTTTTGCAGGGAGTCTCGTACAACCGCCAGTCATGTGCTAGCGCGTTGCAGCAGAGGTCACTGGCAGAGTTCCGACGAATCAAACTCAGGTCAGCTCACCTGGAAAAGATCCGGAGGTTCCTCCTGCTCTCTTCCTTCGTCGGCTCCGAAGCAACAAACTCAGAGGTTCTGGGGAAAAACCCAAAGAAGAACCACAGAAAGAAGAAGGAGGAGGGAAAAAAGTCGCTCAGCTCAAGTTCTCACTGTCTGCCTCTGCGCCACTACGCCGCCACTTCCGGCAGTGACGTCAAGACGTTTTTACGAAGCTTAGAGGAGGTTGAAGGGAAAAAACGAATCACCAATCAGAGGGCAACTCCTGATGAGGGGGCAGAGCCTCGGAAGCCACGTCGTAGACTTTTTGTAATGACGAGTCAGGTGACAAACAGCAGGGCAAAAAGTGATGCCATCAAGTCACGTCACTTGTCAGAGTCCAACAATAAAACCATCAAGAACAACAATAAAAAGAACAACAAAAAAAATAAAATAATAAACAAGAACAGAAACAATAAAATTATGAAAAAAACGCCATAAACAACAAAAACAACAGAAAATCTTTTAAAACAAAAAAATATATAAAACCATCAAAAACAATAAAAACGACTGAAGCGCATCAGAGGACAAACAGGTGCTGTGACTGTTTGTGGCCGTCAGCAGGCAGATGTGAAGTTCTGCTCTCACAGCTGGAGCAGGAAACTGACCCTGCTGCAGGTATGTGCACCTGTTCACTGAGATGAGCTCCTGTCCCTGACAAAGGAGTACACTTGGAGTCACACTGTCTCGGGATGACGAATGAGGGCTCAACCCTGTGCAGGATGACCTCACAGGCCGGAGCTCACTCACACAGATGGTTTCCATCAGGCTGAAGGACCTGTTCACTGGTGATGCTTCAGTTGAATCATGTTTGTTTACAGTCAGGGTTAAAAGGTCATATGCAGGTAAGAATGTCATCAATTCATTCACCACAAAAAGCTTCAGAGAGAGAAAACAGGAGGGTGATGACGACTGATGGAGGCAGACACCAAATGCTGCTGGGGCTTACCATTATGCACTACTCCTTCAGGAATGCAGCAAAAATATGAACATAAACATGTTCACATGCACACACACGCACATGTGTCACAGTTATTTACTGTGTGTGCTTTTTTATGGTGTGTTATCACAGTGCAAAGATTTCTTATGGAGCCCAGGAAGAACTTGATTACAGTACACGTGTGTGTGTGTGAGAGACGTGTTATGAATGGGCAGAGTTTGACCCTGTACACTAAAGTTTAAACCATTTCAAATGAACGAGTTTATGATTAACTGACGGAAAGGAGTAACTGTTTCTTCTTTTTTATGTTGTTTAAATTACTCAAAATAAATACAACAATGAAATCGTTAAAAAATTTTGAACAATTAAAATATAAGTACAGTGTACTAACCAATTGTGCCACTGGAGCTTCTGGACCAATAAAACAATAAAAAGAAAAAAGACAAAACAAAATTTGAGCACACACACATTATGTATTTATTCATATATATATACATTTATATACACATTTATTTATAAATTCCCCACTCGCCCCTGCGGCAGTCTTTCTTTCAAGCTCGGGTCCTCTACCAGAGGCCTGGGAGCTTGAGGGTCCTGCGCAGTATCTTAGCTGTTCCTAGGACTGCGCTCTTCTGGACAGAGATCTCCGATGTTGTTCCTGTGATCTGCTGGAGCCACTTGCCTAGCTTGGGAGTGACTTCACCTAGTGCTCCGATTACCACGGGGTAATTCTCAAGCTCTTCTCTGAGCCATTGGTACTTCCCTAGCTTCTTGTGTTCCTTCTTCCTGATGTTGCTGCCATTCAGTATCTCTACATCTATCACTAGAGCTGTCTTCTTCTGCTTGTCTACCACCACTATGTCTGGTCGGTTAGCCAGCACCATTTTGTCCGTCTGTATCTGGAAGTCCCACAGGATCTTAGCTTGGATTGTCTCAGGGACATCTTTACACAGCCTGCACCTGGGGTCGTGCCTAGTGTAATAGACCCCAGCCTCTATGGATCTTGTACTCAGAGCTTGTTCCTGTGCTGCCATTATTAGTGCCTCTGTGCTGTCTTTCAGTCCAGCTTTGTTGTCTCATCCTGGACTGTGTTGTTGACACTCACCAATCCCTGGCCTTCTTCCTTCCGCTTAGCATACAGGCTCAGGGTGCTGGACTTGGAGTGAAACCCTCCATGGATGGTCAGGAGCTTCCTTGTCTTGATGTCAGTGGCTTCTATCTCCTCCTTTGGCCAGCCTATCATCTCAGGTATCAGACATAAGTATTGACAGCCTGGATTTTGTTTTTACCGTTCAGCTGACTCCTCAGGACTTGCCTGAACCTTTGCTGGTACTTGGTGATTGCAGCTTTCCTAGCAGCCTCTTCATGGTTCCCATTTGCGTGTGGGATGCCCAGGCACTTGTAGCTGTCTTCTATGACTTCAATGTTGCCTTCTGGTTGTTTGATCCCCTCAGTTCTGACTACCTTCCCTCTCTTCATTCAAGGTTCAAGGTTCAAGGTTCTTTATTTGTCACATGCTTAGTTATACAAGTATAACACACAGTGAAATGTAGCCTGACACGCTCCTCGACATGTGCAAAAATTGGGGGGGGGGGGGGGGGGGGGGGGGGTGTAGAGGAATAACATTATATATATATATATACATACATATAGTATATACACTGGGTGAATGTGCAGTAGTAGCAGCAAGCAGGTGAATTCTGTACATTAATAAGAATAGATATCTGACTATTTTACAGGATAGACAATATAAACATATTTAAAATTAAAGGAATTGAAATGTACATTGTGCCTTGGTTTAGTGTCTGGAAGAGTCCTGTCTCAGTCATTATCATCCAACTAGACTTCTCCAGTCTGAACAACGATGTCGTTGCTGTACATTCTGGTGGTGTGGATCAGTGAATCGATGTCTCGTTCAGGGTTGGCATACAACTTCATGTCATCCATGTAGAGGAGGCTGACAGCTGCTCCATTCCGTAGTCGGCATTCGTAGCTGGCAAGATCAGCTGGCAAAAGGGGAATTTTTATGTATATAAATATATATTAAATTTTAATAATAAAAGATTCAAAGTTGTGAAAACAATACATGAAAAAGATTATATTAAAGAAGTACTTAAAAATCATTTTCATGTCTCTGACCAATATTCAATAATTTTAAAATTGGTTTGTGTCATGTGGTTTTGGTCGTAGCACCGATGACAGCCTTCTGATTTCCAAGATGCTGGGTGCTCCACACAGAGCTTTATATATCAAACAGACATACTGAGATTTTTGAAACAATCAACGCTCAAAAACAATTTTCCCTGAGTTGCAGAGCTAAAACCAAGACGGCGTCTCGTATGTTAGTGACCAAGAGTGGAGGAACCTCCGAGCTGCTGTTAGGAACAAAGCTGTTTGAATTTCTGCAGGTTAAACTGGATGAACTCTTATCCTGAGATCTTTACTCTCGCTTACAATCTTGTTCTCATTGGGGCACGATCTCCATGTTTTCCACAGTTTCCATCGTTCTCCTCATCCCGGATCATAAAGCTGGACTACATGAGGGTGCATTCAAGTCACTGCTGAAACGACCAATCACAGTGCAGGTTTCAGAAGTTGGGTGATGTAAAAACCCAGCGTCACTGCTCACCTCTGATCTTATCTGTGATCTGACCATATCACCCGTGATAGTAGTAGTTTCAATATGGCGGACATGCGGTGTCATGGCGTTAAGTAGAAAGGAGTGTGAGGTTGTTCAAATCCTCAGCACACTGTTTTGTTTTGAATCTTTTCTTACGTCCTTGGGTATTCTACACAATTTTCCTTGAGCTCAATCGGAAGACATTAGGAACAAGGGAACACACCCCAGGTGACTCTCTAAGTAGGGATGAGTATTGTCACCGATTTCTATAACTGATTCAATTCTGATTCACAAGGTCCCGATTCGATTTGATTCTATTCAATTTTGACTCAGAAATATTATCATTCTGATCATTTATCAGTACATATCCATATTTTTATATTCTTGTTTAAAAACAAAGGTGAAACTTGTGATGCCTTTGTGTCAAAGTAACTGAGGATAAAACACAGAAAAGCATGAAGGAGATTTACCCGGCCTGGCTTTTTATAGCAGATAACCTTAAAAATATTCTGCAGTAGATCAAAAATTAAAGAACATGAATCAGCAGAACATTACCTGATGCTGCTGAAGTGAAGCAAAGTTACAGCTAAGCATTTTGTAATTTGGCATCATTTTTAAAAAAATTTTAAAACTCTGTATTGAACAGCACAAACGGGCAACAGCACTAAACACAACTACAGACTGGTGTATAATAAGCAAGCAATAATGCAGAAAATAAAGATTTTTGATGGTAAACTGTTCTTGAAGCTCACTGAGAGAAAGAGCTGTGCAGAAAGTGTGATTTTTATGTGTCTTTACGTATCTGCGTACATGCCGTCAGGTAAAAGATCCACGCTTTGTATTTATTGTGCAGAATTAACCATTTGGCGGATATTGAAATAGTTTTGTGAGTTTTAATCTGAGATTCTGGCATTTCTGGCAAAATACATTTATATTTTTTAAAAAAAAATCGATTCAGGATTTAATGAATAGATATCACTACGATTAAATTGAATAAACCCACAGCTATCTGTAAGCACCTGTTACCCTATGAACGCGCCTGGAACACCTTCAGCCAATCACAGAGCAGCAGCACACAGACTCAGCCAATCAACATTTTTAATATGTTCATCATCACCATGTCACAGACAACAACAACAAGTTACATGGTCACAAACAGGAAACAACAATGTGGAATTGGACAGTAGTTTCATAATAAAAGTCTTTCCACTTTCTCCAGCCAATCAGACAACAGAGCTATGGTGAAACAGCCTATTAGCAGCTGTCACATCAGTTGGCAACTGCTGGTAAATTTACACCTGATTGGCTGGTGTTCAAAGTGGAAAGAACAGGCTTTTATTTTGCAAGATCAAGGAAACACTTAAAGAAAAACAAATTTAATTTGATATAAATATTTCGTAAACATCACCACAGTAACACCGACATTTAGACCACACCTTCACCCAGCATGGGAAAACAGGAAGAAATGAACTTTAACCTTCAAAATAAAAGCTCTCTGAGGTTTTAACACTTTTATAGAGTTTCTGAAATCACATGCTTTATCCAAGCTAATGCTGCTAACAAAACTAATGTCCAGGCCTCCTCTGTTTGCCCCGCCCCCCTCATCTTAGATAACATACTCGCCCCCTCAGCCAGCCACACGGTAGTTGGCATGAAACTCTGGCTGGATGTCGCAGATGCGCCGCAGCAGCTCGGTTAGCACGGCCTCTCGGTTACTACGGTAACTGGCCTGGATACGATTCATCTTCTCCGCCGTGTCACGATCCACCTCCACTGCGCTATTACCATGGGAACCAAGAGCCTGGAGGGAGGGGGAGTTTGGGCGGAAACAGACAAACATTATATATAACTTTTATTTTGAAATAACTATTATATACACAGAGTACTTAAGTATAAAAACCAGGTTTACATTTATATAGATAAAGATTTAATAATGACTACTACTAATGATTTCATAACAAACAATACAAAAAACTTATTTAAAAAGGGAAAAAAAAAAGAGTAGAAAAAAAGAGCAGAATCAGCTCTCCCAGCCTTCAGTCAGAAAGCTTATTAAAGGCATTTTCGAAAACAGCTCCTGTACAGGTCTGTGGAAGCAGCTGTCTGACCTCTATAAACACTGGATCACATCTGTCTTTTTGGCAGAAATGCTCATTTCAAGGCTTCAAAACGAGACTTCACAACAGCCCGGCCCATGTCTTAACTGTGCTGGCAGTACAGGAATGATATTCAATCACATATAGTAAACGTTCAGATTTTATTTTCGAATTCAATCAATGGAAACGAATTAATTTTATAGATATATATATATATATATATATCAAAAATTGAAAGTGAAACAAAGAAGAAAATAAAGAAAGAAAGAAAAAGTTGTTTCTGTGATTCACGCTAAATTAAAGAAGGAAAATAATAAATCATTCTTCAGCATGTAAACAGAGAGGAGAAGGGGAGGAGAAGGACTAGGGTACATACAGCTGCCTCCTTGGTCTTGAACTCCTTCTCTCTCTGCAGGCGGTACTGTTCGATCTCAGCCTGAGCTTCTTCCTTCGCCTGCTTCAGTCGCCGATTCTTACCTGCACACGTCACAACACGAGAGAGAAACCATTTAAAGACTGGACTCAGATCAGTCCGCAGGTTTACAGGTAACGGGTGGAGGACGGTGGAAGTTTAATGTCTGCAGATGAATTGATGCGCGGGTTATTAACACTACTGTGACTCTAGGTCACATGACCTCAGTGTTTCACCATCAGGAGACCGGAACCACACTGATCATGTGATAAAAAACTGCACAGAAACAGACACCCGCGCATGAATCATGGGCTGACCGGAAGTGAACACCCTGCAGTTACCGACCGTGTTACGGTTCTGACCCGGTCACGGAGCCGTTACATTGCCGCGAGTTTTCTCCTCACAGCGGAAACAGACCTGCTTCTACCCCGATCTGAGTCGGATCGGGCAAAGCTATAATCCCCTCCCTGACGTGCTCAGGGAGGTGCCAGCAGTCTGACGGAGGACCGATCCGATGATGCTGTACCGAGTCCGGTCCGTGTCTGACGTCAGAAGAACGCGAGCAGCCAGTGAAACTGTAAATTCACCGAATTACAGACCGAGTTCTGCCTTACACGGTTTCTGCTCCCTGTCAAAGGTAACAGTGGCCCCGCTGCGGGCTCGGCGCCCAGAAGGCCGGACTGGTACTCACGCTTGCGGGCCTCGGCCACCTTCTCGGCCGCCCTCTTCTCGGCCTGCAGCAGCTGCTGGATGCCCTGAGACTGGCTCGCCATGCTGGGTCACTCTGCGCGGACACACGGAGCAAGGTCGACGGAGGATTTGTGCTGCTTCTACCTCCTCTGTGGCCGCAGTCAGCTGATCTCACGTCACGCTGCAGACGGTCACGTGAGGAGAGTCTGCGTCTTCTTCTGTGCTCAGCATGCTGTGTATCAGCCCCCCCTGCTGGGCTGGAGGGAGGTTCTCACAGTTTCTCTCCACAGTAGCTCCATCATTAATAAACAATATTTACATTTTTAAATACTAATGTAAGTTAGATTTTTATTGATTGTTCAGATTTTTAAACCACAAAAAAAAAGAAAAGAGAACAAAATGAGACCAAAATATGACCGACAAACATAGAACAGCTGACAGCAGCTACATGTAACAGCCTTGAGCTCAAAGATCATAAAAGAGAGAAGTCCTTTTTCATCACTGCCAGAGAGAGCAAGATGAAGCAGCCATTTATTCACATCAAGAGTCACTAAAAATTAAATGACCATAAATAAAAGAGAGACTCAAAAACTGATCACATACAAGCAGGTAAGACAGGTGTGTTCACAGGTGTGAAGACTCTTCTGTGCTTCCATTAGACTTGTTCCATGAAGGCGGACAAAAGCAGGGTCAGTTCTCCCAGCCTTCAGTCAGAAAGCTTATTAAAGGCGTTTGTGAAACGCCAGAGTTAGATTTCCTTCACTCCCCAAACTGCTCCTCACCTGTAATTGCCTCCAGATACCTGCCTTAGTAAATATTATCTACCCTAATCCTTGACATTTAACCAGCAAGTGACCTGAACTTCACAGGAAGTCAGAACCTCTGGACAGTGGCTATGAATCGACACACCAGTACCATCTGATAAAGCTCCGTCCCTAGTACTGGTAACAGAGGTGATGATGACAAACATAGAGGCAGCTCCTGGGTGAAGCTAAGCATGAAGTTCTGTCCGAAGCCCACAAGGGATGACAGCTCCTGTAGAGGTCTGTGGAAGCAGCTGTCTGACCTCTATAAACACTGGATCACATCTGTCTTTTTGGCAGAAATGCTCATTTCAAGGCTTCAAAACGAGACTTCACAACAGCCCGGCCCATGTCTTAACTGTGTTTGCTCGTGGGAAACCGACAGGAAGTGTCAGCTGCCGTGGTAACAGGAAGAGGAGGAAGCAATTCTGTACAACTAAAACACAAATGAAGCAAAAAAGTTCAAATGTAAAACCTCACTACATATTAATTTACACGCATGTTATTGTAGCATTGTTATAGTGATACTGATATCACCATTATTAATAAAGAGAGTGCCGATGTCATCAACAGCAGTAATGACATTGGCGTGTCTGTGTACACGGCTTCAGTTTGATTAAAGCTTTATTGTTTCTGATGTGATCAGTTCTGTGAGGAGATCCTTCCTGATTTCCAGTATAAATAAAATTAATACAGTTGTCATGGCAACATTTCAGGCTCCTGTATTTTTCAGCTTCTCTAACGCAAAGGGCGACTTCTCAGTTGGCATCACCAGACAGCCACACATCAGGATCAGCTGTAAGTTTGTCACGGAGAAAGTACCGGAGCAGCTTTCAGTCAGATCCATCCCAAAAGGTCTTACATCAATATTTAAGTGACTTCATAAACTTTGTTTGTGGGTTAGTTTATTCAGAAGCAGGCAGTGCACCATACTGTGTTTCTTATAGTTTAAAGAACACTTCTTTCACCATAGCCGTTTAACATAAACTTATTTTTGTAATTTTACATTTATGTTCTGCTTCTCATGTTCGTTGTGTAATGAATTATTAATCTCTGGCTCTCTTCCACAGCATGTCTTATCCCATCATCCTCCCCTCAACCCAACTGGTCGTGGCAGCTGGCTGCCCCTCCCTGAGCCTGGTTCTGTCGGAGGTTTCTTCTTGTTAAAAGTGAGTTATTCCTTCCCACCGTTGTCAAAGTGCTTGCTCATAGGGGGTCATATGATTGTTGGATTTTTCTCTGTATGTATTATTGTGGGTCTACCTTACAATACAAAGCGCCTTGAGGTGACTGTTGTTGTGATTTGGCGCTGTGTAAATAAAATTGAATTGAATTTATGAATTCCTCATACAGCGTGTTTTTCTTTTTTACATGCATTTGGAAATGATCAGTTCTTGGTTTCTGCTGTATTGTACTGTTGGACAGTTTTCATCTTATAATGTCATGAATATTCTTAAAAATGTCATATGCACCATCAATATGAACATTTTCTCAGTTGTGGATGAACAGGTCATTTTTAAAAGAACTGGTGGTTTCCTCTGGCCTTACATGTCTTAGTTCTTCCTCCGGTTGCTTTCTTTTGTAATAATTAGTGTCATAAACTGCAAACAGTGGCAGCCCCAATGATGTCATTAATAGTGAGCTGATTATTACATTTCTCTTTCATTCCTTGTAAAAAATACAGTTATTATACATGATAAGTTATCAGTCACAGTTCTCATACTGTCCAAAACCATGTCATCTAAATTTACTTCAGATTACACCCCACAGTAATCAGATTACACTCCACAGTAAACCAGATTTTCTGACTGTCTTTTGGCCGGTCAGAAGAGTCGTGACTGTCAGTGGAGGGCCGGTCTGTATTTTTCTGTATTCCTCTGAGTGATTCTTTGTTCTGTAGTGATCATAAAGCGATTTCGGGTTTCTTGTTTCTCTGATTTGTTTTGGCGACAGCATCTGTGGAACTAACCTGAGGTTGGATCTGAATTTCACCTACTGTGATTTGGCCTGTTCCTGAAATTGAAGGTTGACCAATGTTTTCAATTTAGACCTTTACATTCAAATTAGGATTATTTAATGTTTCCAGTATGAGGCGTGAACACAGTGAGCCACACCCACCGGAGGTCTGAGGCTGACACCCACCGCTGATGCCGTCGAGTCCAACGAGAACGACGCATTCTGACTGGCTCTCCCAACACCCTGAAAGACACCAATATATTCCTTAGTTCCCTCCTTCCTTCCTTCCTTCCTCCCTCCCTCAGTTCCTTGCCTTTGGAGTTCCTTGGGCTTTGGAGCGTGATGTCACGGCCACGCCCCCTCCCGCCATGACAGTAGGCCAGACAAAGCACACGGAAGCGTCAGCTATGGTTCGTAGGTACTGTGTTGTCGGTTGCAATGGTAGATCACATGATAGGGAAGGCAAGAAGCTGGAAAATGGGCTCTCTTTTCATAGTTTCCCTTCCTGAAGGCAACGGGAGGGATCTCATGTATCCGATAATACTAAACGAAGATGTCAGGCTTGGATTGCAGCGGTCAGACGAGCGGATATCGAGTTCTCTGCCATCCCCAAACGAGAGCAATTGCCCACCTGAGAATTCATGTTGAGCGAGTAATAGGTAGTTTGCGTAACAAGTTCAAAATGCTACACACTACAATGCCAATCCGATTACTCACATCATGTGAGGGTGAAGACAGCACTGATTGATAAGATTGTTAAGGTGTGCTGTGTTTTGGTGAATATGTGCCCCTTGGTCAAACCAGGGCCAAATGAAACTTGCTCTTGTTGAATATTCACAAAACTGCTGTGTTGCATGTACAGTTCATTGTAAATAATTGTACTTTCTGTAAAGTGGTTTCAATAAAACAGAAAAAAGTATGTTTTGTTTTTTTTCAAGATCTGTTCAAATGTACTTAGCAAGTACATACACATGAAATGCAAACTATTTACATGGCAACGCACAGCTGGCATCAATCATGAATCGTTCATCTAGAGCAATTTTTGGGGCAGGTGCTGAGGAGAAGTCAATGTTATGTGCAACCTCTGGCTGTATCTTGGTCATATGGTCAACGTACTCACAACGTGGAGGCTTAAAAACGGCCAAATCTTGTACCCAACCGTTTGTGAATCAGATGTGCGCCTCCAGGGATTTATAATTATGAAAATGATTTCCCCTATGCGCTGACTCCACAGACAAGGTACGCGAAGATAGCGGGATAGGACAACAGCGGTAGGCTGTCTGGGTTTCCACTCCACTGCCTTATTTCATACGGGTCCACATTACCGATGCACGCTATTTTTTCCAAGTACCGTCTCTTGGCTTCTGGGTGCAATCGGTCACGATACAGCCCTTTGTCTTTTGCGCTAATTTTAAGCATGGTTCTGGCAGTCCCGCTTCCAACACAGTGTGTTTGTCTTGATTTTTTTGGCCTTCTGACATGGCGCCGCGATCCCACAATGCACGGCCGCGTGACGTCAACGCCAAAGCCCTATTCCCTCACTTACCTTACTTCCTTATAAGGTATGTCCTCCATTTGTCTGTCAATCAAACTGGGAGGCTCCACCAACTCCTTCCTGGAGACATGGTAAGGACACACAGTATTCTGAGTACTGGAAGTAATTGGACTACTGCAATTAATCAGAGTACTCTGTAATGTGTAACTTACTGGATGTGTTTCCATATTTGGTTGTCAGGACTGTGGCTACAAACACAACAAGTGTTAGCAATAGCCTTTAGCACATGTTAGCATTGTTACCATTGTGTTTTACTTACGATTGGGTGTGGCGGCGGCGATGGTGGCAGGAAGTTGTGTCAGGACCGTGGTCACTGTGGCGACTGCTAAGTACAAATGGGAAATTATGGATACAGTTAGCATCAGTGTTAGCCACACAAAGACGCTAAGCTAACTTTTTTTTTTTTACCATTTTGGGGGTCTTCTTCGGCACCGCTCACTATTACTTGACATCTTTTCTGATTCGCTGCCGCTGCTCGTGTTGCCACGGGAATGAGACCTGCTGGGCAGAGAGCCAATTAAATATCTTGAACGGTCAACCTGAGGGTGGGCAGACCATCATGACACACAGAGGACAAACATGAAAAAACTTTTGAATAAAATTCAGAGGGTGCATCCTCCTGAGGCCGCATTTGAAGGCCGATTACGTCACATACATCGTGACGTAGGCTATCCCAATTCAAAGACTCCTCCAAATGCGGCTGACAAATGTGTCCTCTTTTTCCTCAGATTTGAAGGAGTCAGGTGTCCTTTGTGGCCTGCCATATCCCAGAATTCATAGCGTGGCACAGCCAATTCCAGTTTCCAACAATGGCGGCAGCTACTTAGTTGTAATATTATTTTGATTACTCTTTCTGGGTCACAAAATAAACTTTTATGATACATTTCAGGCAAGAATGTAGCTGTGTAAACTTCAAATATCTGCTTAATTTATCAACACACATATATCACATATTTGCAAAAGTGCTCCGACATTTTTGGAGCCATCTGTTACCCACCAGCTCGATAGCTAACCAGGTGGTCAAGGCTCACTAGAGCTGGCGAGAACAGCGAACTCCCGGCAAATCATTTTCAACCCCCTGTGGTCTTTGCTACTCAGGTTAAACATGATATATAAGTCACACTCAGATAACTTAAAAATGTTTGGCTTTTTCCAGTGTTTTATCTGTTTATGAATAAATCAGTTTGGCTGAGATTAAAGTTATAGTTTTCACATAGCTGAATAAACATCAAACAGAAAACTGATTAAACAGAAGTGTGAGATGGTAGAAAATTTACTCCAATGCCCTGTTATATTTTACATAGCAAGGAGCAGACGGCTGACTTTATTAACCTCCACCGAGAGAGCGGTGACGCAAATCTGAAGGTCTCGGTTGCAGCCTCTGAATTTGGACACAGCTTTCATTAGAAACAAATGAAGGCATTAAAGAAATGACAGTTTCCTTACCTCCTCCTCTGCTCTCTGATTGGTCGATCTCCATCAAGACTTCTGCTCCGCCTCAAACACCAACAGGAAAATGTGTCATTTTAGTTCCCTCTTTACTATTCCTTCCTCCCTTCCTGACTCCTTCTTTCCCGTTTTTCTTACTTCCTCCCCATTGTCCTCCCTCCCTTCTTTCCAACCTCCCATTTTTTTATACCTTTCTTTCCCTATCCCTTCCTTACTTTCTTCCTTTTTTCATTTAAGCCTCCATTTCATCCTTCCTTCATTTCCTTTCTCCCTTCCTGCCTTACCTTTGTGGTCTTCCTGGGACTTGTTCGTCTTTGTTGGTGTTTGGACAAAACTTTGGGTTGAACAGACCACTGTTTCAAGGAAATCGGAGATTACAGTGGCAATCAGATTACATTCTGCATTAATTTAATTACATGTATCAGTAATCAGATTACACCTTGCAGAAGGTTGTTTTAAACGTACATGTTTGTGTTGTTTTCCCATGGTGCACTGGGCTTAGCATGATCAGGCTTCGCCCTGCCCTCTGACCCTCTGCAAGTTCAGATACGTGATCAAAATACATCATCGCATGTCAGCATCACATGACATCAGCACATTCTCTCACCTCTGAACAGCAGGTAGTGCGCTGTGTTTTGTTATTAGTTCACTACTGCAACTTGGCTTATGATTGGCTGGAATAGAGAAGTGGGGACAGAGCTGTAGTTTATTTTATTACAGGAGCAGATAGTAAAACCACAGCATGTCTTCCTAAACACACCTTGACGCGTTGCCCTCACACACACATCAGCTGATGCCGTTTTGTTGTCAATGCCATTTTTCAACAGACGGAGAGACGGAGTTTTAGAGCAAGTGAAACTGGAAGAAAAGGATGCATCATCAGAAACGTTTGTGTGTGTGTGTGTGTGTGTGTGTGTGTGTGTGTGTGTGCTTACCTATTGTGGTTCAGTTTGTGTGTTAAAAGGTTTATCTCTGACATCCTGAAAACAAAAAAAATTTGAGTTCTGCGTGAGTGCGTGTCTGTGTCTTTCTGTGCACGTGTATCTGTGTGTGTGTCTGTGTGTGTGTCTGTGTGAGTCTGTATGTGTATGGGTGTGTTTGTCTCTTTTTTTCTCCTCATGGATCTGTGTGATGTCACAGAGTGCAGGTATCCTTATTTTTTTCACTATTTTCAGGTTTTCTGACACATGTGAAATGGGTAAAGGCAGGCTCATGGGGTGATTTGAGAAGAGGGAAAGGTGGAGCCTACGAGAACCAGGTTTAGTTTATGGAAGCCAGATGAGCCAATCAGAAGAAACCAGGAGAAGCTGAAACATTTTGTTTCAGAATCAGATACAAAGTGTGCAGAGCTGAATACCTGGAGAAGGTGAGCAGATTAAATATCATCACAGAGGCCGGTGTGCATTACCTGAAGAAGGTGTGATGTTCAACGCAACACTTCCACAAATGTTTGCAGCTGCGGCAGTCGGATGTTTGGAAGAAGAACGATGTCGCTGAACCCTGAAAGCCATGCAGTTTCTTTTTAAATAACGTTTTTGCATTTTTAAAAAATATGTTTTTTATCTAATGATCACTGTTAGCATTAGCTTAGCATTAGTCAGCCAATAGGAACTCACGTTTCTGCCTGACACTCTGAGCTCGAACTTCTCGTCTTTGTAGTGAAGTTTGATGATTCGCTGCCTGCAAAAGACAGCAAGCTGAGGGTCACATGACTGAGGTCATATATTTCTGTTTCCTCTTGTTTTGGCCCCGCCCCCTCCTTGCTGCCCCCCCTAGCTGTTAATCCTCCTGACCATGACTCATTGTCTTCATCTCAGGGAAATGTTAACACACATTTAAACTGATCAATACATATCATTAAATATTAACACTGATATGAACCTTCTGTTTGGGTCATATCACTGTGATGTCATCCAGGCGTTTTTAACCTACCACAGATATTTTCCCACCAGCTCTTTGTTCTTGAAGATGACCACTCCTACTGGTGTTGGACCCAGGAAGTACTCGGTGTGGTTCTCCCCCTGCACAAAGTCATGGTGTCAGCACGGATCAGTGATTGATCGGCTGAAGTTCTTGTATTGATCAGTGATCAAAAGGCTTACATAGGCGGCGAACAGAGAGACGCCGTACATCTGCAGAGAGCTGCAGACAGACAGGAAGTGGCGCTGAGCCTCAGAGCGAGGGACGCCACTGCACAGCAAGAGAAAGAATCAATCAATCATTCAATCAATCAAAGTGATTTCTTTTGTTAGTGTGCAGCTCCATCTTTTGTCGTGTATTGATTATTGATCATTTTTTAAAAATATTTTTGATGGTGGCAGAACAAAATAAAATATGGGATCAGGTCATGTGATTACAGAAACAAGACCTTTAACAGCATGGCATCATTTCCTGTGTACCTGAGCGTTTTGCGGATGAGTTGAACTTCCTGCGTCTCCTCAGCATCTGATGTGTTGTCCTCACTCTGGTTGCCTCGATCCGCTGAAACCATACCATACCATACCAACTTTATTTCTAAAGCACTTTAACATAAAACCAGAGTTTCACAAAGTGCTGTACATGTTGAAACAAACATGGGAGATCAATAATGAACTTACTGACTGATGAAGAAGTCACACATATGAACGGGTGTACAGAATTATTTTGATGTCACAAGTCATACACGAGAAAAAACATATTCTGAGCAAATATTTCATTTTACTCATTTCATTTGCAAAAGTGCTCTGACGTTTTCGGAGACGTGCAGAATCAAATTCAAAGCCTTTTCTTTACACATATGCAGGTGTTACATTCTCTAATATGTATTATATATGGTTAAAATACATCAAATGCAGTAAGTATACACGTTTCATAAAAAGTCTGTAACTTTCTTATTGGCTTTAGCCCACATAATTAAACATACAAGTCGATCTTGAGTTTCACACTCTTTTTATTAGAAATAATCAAATTGTTACATTCTTAAATTGACACAAAATGTCAGAAATCTTCTCTGTCAGGAACACATTTTCTATATGTATATGCAGCTCAAACTTATGCACAAAGAATGTAATGTAATGCCTGTATTATCTTTTCTCGTTTGTGACTTATGATAGAAAAATAATTCCATACATTTTCTTCTCACCCTGCAGCATCAGAGCGCACAGCTGAGCTCTGAGGTGGCCGGAGCATGGCAGGCGACCTCGACGTACATCCTGACAAAGTTGGAGGTAAAATTGACGCCTGACACAGGAAACACATGAGTTTCACCAAGGGTATTTAAAAAGCAGATGAAATTATGGTGGCTTAGTCATGCCAGAGGGCGACATAAGGCCACCCATGTTGGGGAGGGGGGACCGTTAAGGGCACCCGTGGCAGATGGCCATATAAGGCCACCTTTGATGAGGTGGCAGGCTTGTTGAGACAGATATGATGCGTTTAGTGTTTCATGGATTTGTTAGGTTGCACTGAAACATACCGGGTTGTTTCCTCGTTCAGCTTCGATGGATCTTCAATGTAAAATTTGACTCCAAAGTAGAAAATGTACGGCGGCCCAGCTGGAACAAAAAATGAGAAATGTGCTGTTTGAGAATCTGAGGATAAATCAATAAGACAGATCAGTTATGTTACTGATGAATTTCATGTTGCAGCTCACCGAGTTCCTTGTGCTGTGACAGAGTCTTTGAAGGATCCAACCAGAGCTGAAAGAAACACAAACAGTAACTGCTGCTGCTCCTGAGCGCGCTCAGTTTGGACTTCTTGTTTGTGTTCTCACCGTCTGCTGCCAGTTGTCACAGAACTTTAAACCGAAGAACTCAACCTCGACCACGCCTAGCTCAACGAACACCAGCTGCAAGATGGAGACCGCCTTCGATGATCTCTGAGGACAATACACTGCGTCACATTCAGAGCTTTCATCACTCACAGAGACAGGATGCTGAAGAACTTATCAGATCTATCAAACCTATCAATTCAGTTCAATTCATCCATTCATTCTCTTCCACTTAGCCTTATCGGGTCATGGGGGGATGGAGCCTATGCAAGCCACTATAAGCAAGAGGTAGGGTGAAGGTCAAGTTTATTTATATAGCACCTTTCAAACAGCCGATGCTGCACAAAGTGCTTAACAATATAAAAATGGCATTAAAAAGCAACAATGTAATACAATAATAATAATATAAAACAATAATAGGACAATAAAAGAATTAAAACAATAACTACAATTATTAAAATAAGACCAGAATACTTGGGTCATAGTGTGTTAAAAGCCAGGGCATAAAATGTGTCTTTAGTAGTGATTTAAATTGCTCCAAAGTCTGGGACCTGCCACGGAGAAGGCTCTATCGCCATGAGATTTGAGATAAGTCCGTGGGATGGACAGTATTATTGCCAGACCCTGTAGACCCTGTATTGACAGCCTGACGCAGTGCTAATTTAACACAGAGAAACAGACAACCATTCACACCTATGGGCAATTTAGATTCACCAGTTAACCTTACCCCACTAACTGCTTTTCTTTGCACTGTAGGAGGTAGCTGTAGAACCTGGAGAGAACATGCAGACTCCACACAGAAAAGCCGGCAAGGCTGAACTCAAGAGCTTCTTGCTGTCAAGCAACAGTTCTAACCATTGTATTACCGTTCCGCCCAATCAGTTCAATGCAACAATATATAAATATATATACCACCACAACAATATATATTGTAAGGTAAAGACCCCACAATAATACACAGCTATCAAACCTGTCAGGTTTTCTATTTTTTACTGCCACTAAAATCAAAGTTCATAACAGGAAGTTCTTAATAATGATCTTTCAAAGTCAGTCCCCTCTAACTGCATAGAGGTTTGATGGAGGCCACAGAGTGGTGACAGTCTTACTCAGAGGGGAGAGGAAACGGCCAACGGGAAGTCGGCACTGACCTTGATGCCCTGTTCGACCGTCAGTGTCAGCTTTCTGTTGTCCAATAGAAGCACTTCTCCGTAAAACTCCTCCCGGTTGCCCCGGAAACAGGCCATTGTCCTGTCATGAGCAGAGTTACAGCCTGATGAAGATAAAGGTGGCAGCTACAGAGTGATGGTGATGATGAGCATGACATCTGAAGCACCTCAGATACAAACCACAGAATCAAACTGAGCCCTGAATGATGGGAAATAGAGTCACCAGCTTCTCTGCTCACCTGCTGCTGATCCTCCTCTTCCTCTCCTCCTCTGGTCCTTTGTCAAAGTCTGCTCTCCTTCTTCTCTGGTTTCTCTGGGTTTGTTGCTGTGTTACCATAGAGATAACTCCTCCCCCTCTCCTCTGATTTCCATTTTGCTTTGTTTCCCTTTAAAAAAAACTTCAACAAATAATTCCAAAAAGCAGGTGTGTGTACAGAATAATTTGAAACAGAATTTTATATACAATTGACACAAATTTTAAGTTTCACTGATGATCAGTTTTTATGCTCAATTTATCACAAATATAACTTCTTACTGAGGCTCAGTCAGCTAATTTCCTGTGTGTGTGTGTGTGTGTGTGTGCTGCATTCACTGCCTCATTAATCTGAGTGCAGGATTAGCAGAGGCTGAGGCGGATCCCTTGAACGCCCCGTCAACACAAAAACAACTTTCAGTGTTTAAAGTCGATCAATAAAAAAATAAGATTAATTTAAAGAACTTCTGCATTGTGATGTTTTATTAAATCAGTTTTAGTTCAATATTACTGAGGAAAGATCATTTTAAACATCTTTACTTATTTTCACCACTTACCCTTTTCAGGGTCGCAGGGTGCTGGAGCCTATCTCGCTGTCTTAGGGCGAGAGTCAGGTTACACCCTGGACAGGGCTAACACAGGCTAACACAGACAACCATTTGCAACTATTGTTTCCAATTAACTTTTCCCCACTAACTACATGTCTTTGGACTGTGTCCACACAGAAAGACCCCAGCATGATGGTAGAATTGAACTCAGGACCTTTTTGCTGTGAGGCAACAGTGCTAACCACCATATTTTACTTTTTTATGTTTAAAACTAATACTTAGTGTTCTGTCTCATCATGTACGAAAGTAAATAAAAGTTAATTTAAATACAAAAAGCTATATATTCATAGAAACATGTATGTTTGAGATTTATTTTACAGTTTTAACCAGTTTTTTGTTTTTACAGTGTAATCAGCTGATGGTGAAATTTTTTTACAGTGTGGGATTAAAGTAGCTGTTAAAAACGTCTCGGTTGCGCTGTGTCGCTCAGACCAGTGTTCACACTGAGATCACCGCACTCTTATTTTTAATGAGATTTTTTTAATCTGTTTATTTATTTACGTGACTTTTTTCTTCAGTTTGATTTTTAATTCTGTTATTTCTATTGATATAAATGTTTTCATATTTTTACCTTTAACTTTTTTTTTTTATCCTGTGACTTCACAGGATAAAGGCATACTTCAGGATTTTTTGTTTTACAATAAAAGACTTTATAAACAAACAGAGGTAAAGTTAAAAATTGATTTTAAATCTGAAATCGGGTGTTCTGATTGGCTTGTGACATTTAACAAAAGGACCAATCATGGCAGCTGACTCCAGTCCTCCCGTCTGCATTCAGATCCTTGCTGTGATCATCCTCCTGTGTTTTGGAGTCTATAGCTTCATCAAGGTAACCGTCAGACTTTTGATTTTGGGTCCAACGTGACCTCCTGCTCACGCAGTCCTCCCCTTCCTCTCTGCAGGGAGCCTCCTCCTCCTCCTTCAGCTGGTGGTCAATCCTGGGAGCTGCCTGTCTGCTCGCCACCGCCTTTGCTGCCTTTCGCCTCTATGAGGTCTGCAGGAGGAAGGCAGAGGAGGCGAAGAAGAGGCAAGACAAAGACGAGCACAGAGGATTGTCTGAGGAGAAGTGATGAAGAGGAGCTTCAGATCAATAATCCTTAATTATTTTAATTTGTCCCAAACGGCTGATGTCACACTTTCTCTCTCCTGATTGGCTGCTGGGTGGTGTTACACTGTAAAAAGATTCTGTAAATTATTCATGTTTTATTTTGATGGGATCACCGAGCATTTTCTGTGTGCTTTTATTTTTCAAACTGTGTTCATTGACAGAAAACATTGATTCTGGTCAGATCAATAAATTCACTTTTTAATCAATGATTTCATAAAATCTTATACCCTGGTTCCTTCACAATAAAAGTCAGTCATGTGGTCAGAATAAGAAGTTTCAAAATAAAGTTTAGTAGCAATGTGCAGCACTGTCTCTAGTCCACTCTTTCAGAATAATGGTATCTTACACGACAAACAGAGAACTTGAAAATAAATTACATCTAGGTGCAGTTTTCAAAGGAAAATCCACAGCTACATACTATGGCTTCAGTTCCAGACTTTCACAATAAAAGCCTCACAGTAGAGTAAAAACTGTTGTAAAATTGATGCTCAATAGCAATAAATCTGATAGAAACTTATTGATTTTAAGAATTACAAACAGCAATGATATGACTTAAAATAAAACCACTCATCAGTCGATCACGGGGAAAGGCTGCTGAGGCTCCGATTGGTTGTCAGGAAATTTCCCATAAAGCTCGGCACCTGAAGACCTGTCGCTATGGTGATACCACCACACCAAACCTAAGGCACAGTTTTACAGCAGTTAGCACTTTAATACATGCAGAATATGTCCTGTAATATATTGAGAGTACTGTGATACTGTCAGTGTACCGTTACTTAACCGTGACTGTACAGTATTACTGTACTATTACTGTAGTGTTACTGTTATAGTACTCACGGTGAAGGCGGGGACAAGCGGCTGGCTGAACTTTGTTTTGAAGGCGTGAACAAGACGAAGATGATCTACATCAATAAACAACAAATCACCTGAAACAAACAGGAAGTCAATTCAGAAACAAAAACAAACAAACAAAACAAACACACTGTCAATGAGCAACCAGGAAGTTGAAAATACTCTTTGTTTTTCGGACCGTTGTCATAGTCACAGTAGATTCCGATTCGGTGAGGTAATGGCCAATCCAGTGTCTTTGCTCGGTTGTTGTGCTTTGCGGCAAGAGAGCTCTGCAGCCATTGGCTGGCGTGGAGACACCACGAACCGGTGCCCTTCCCTAATTGGTCAAAGCGTCCCAGGCTGCCCCGATAGGCCACCCCTACACTGAATGATTTCCAGTCAGCCAGGGGGCGGAGCTCCCAGTAGTGACAACCATTAGTCATCTCCTCGTCACCTAGGAGACCAGGAAGGAATTTCTTTTTAATTTTTAAAATTAGAAATCTTTTATTTTAACTTGTATTATTAAAAATTATTTTAAAAAATGAATAAAATTTCAATGTCAAATCATTAAATCCAAGTTGTTATTAAATCAACTTTTTTTTTTTTTTAAATTCTGACATCTTAAAGACATTCACTTTAGTGTTACTACAGTATTAGTACTGCAATAAGAGTGCAGTATTACTACCCAGCACTGTGTATGACTCCCCAGCAAATCGATCGCGTCCTCCTCGACTTGCAGCCGTTTTATTGGGTGATGGCGTGGCGCTCCGGCTGCTGAGGTAAACACAAAAAAAAATGTTAATAAATGTCAACAGCATAGCGGGAATGAAACGGCAAGGTGAAACAGCCAATGAGGTTGTGCCAAAGCATGATGCAGCAGAGAGGAAGATGAGCGTGACAAAAACATTTCATTTGTTACATGATGGAAGAAAAGTTTATGTTACGACATCATTTCCTTTAAACATGTTAAGCCTTTATTTTGAAATAAAACCAAACATGAACTTTTTAATTAAAACAGGAAATTAAACGCTGATGTGATGTCAGCAGTGATGTGAAAATGGCAAATGGAGAGAGTGATTGGTTGCTAGGAAACCACTCAGCCATGATTGTTTCTACCTGAGCAAGTTGGAGAGGAAGCAGCACGGAGACTGAGGAGGGATAAAAAGGTTAAAGGTTATTTACTGAGGCACGTGTGAACTGGTGAGACAGGTAGCCGCTGTGATCTCATCACGATCTCACCTCTGAATGAGTCAGCTGATCAGTAAATGTGTAATGAGGAGGTGTGGCCTCCTGACTCTACAATTCTCTTGAATCAGCTGACCCATTCCGGCAGGGCCAGCATGTTTATTTAGGAGGTCAGAGATAAAATGACAAACAGTTAGTGATGATGTACAGCTTGGCGGCGTCCAGTCACAGAGGGAGATACGAAAAATCAGCAAAAAAAGTGATGTGGCCCAACCAGCTTTTTCAGGGAATTAAGAGCACCTCCTGCTGTCGTTACCTGACCAGCACAGGTGTGTCACTCTACAGGTGAGAAAAGTGCATCTTCCTGTTCTTTCTCTTTCACAATAAAAGCCTGTGCATTTCACAATACTGTGAGCGATGAACTTTACCGTGCTTCTAAGATACATTCAGGTGTATTAAAAAACACAACGGCCTCATCACTAACAGCTGTCCTCACCTGCTTTTGTTCTCTTTGCCTCGCAGGCGAGGATCATGACCTTTGACCCCCTGAGGCTCCCAGGTCACCGTGTCACCCTGAACCTTGAGCTCAGCGTGCGCTGTTGAAGCGTCGAAGCTGAAGTTATACGCTGCAGACAAAAACATGGAAAACAAGGCGTCATCATTATCTGAGGCTCCGCCCCTCAAACACAGTTAAATATTCCACGTCGTGTGCTCACCTGTTGTTTCTATGGCGATAGGCTCTGAGAACTCGCCAGCTGCCGCTTTGTTTCTAGCTCGGACTCGAATGGCAATGAAACGCGAATCGAACTTCAAACCTGAAATGCAGAAATTGGTTTAAACTCAATGATGCTGTAGCCATGCAATAATGACCTCTGACCTTTTACCTGAGATGGTGACCTGAGGTTCGATAATGTCACAGACTTTCTCCCAGCATGCCTCTCCTGCCACTCTCAGTGTGCTGTCACGGTCCGTTTTTCGGTACTCTAGGTCGTAACGTTCGATTGGTCTGCTGCTGCTATCGCCACCACTGTCTGCCTCACCGGGCGGTCGCCAGGTGACCGTGATGGTGTTGTCACGGACTACACAACTGGAGGCATCGATCTGTGGAGCTCTCGGCACTGAGAAACAAGAAAAACATGTGACCTCTGACCTCACAGAACAACCACCTGAACTGTTTGCGTCAACTGACCTGGCAGAAAGTGAAGTCGTTGAAGCCCCGCCCTCTCTGCACTGAAGTCCACAGTAAATTGTGACATGTTGTCTGACACCGCAGGGCGAGTGGTTAGGCGGAACGCCGGCGCCATTGTTACCCTAGTAACAGTGTTGGGGCGGATCCCAATGGAGTGGGGTGGGTTAGGTGTTAGTATTTAGGGATGGGGTTAGAAAGGTTGGGGCGGAGTTTGTATGCAAATCATTGGAGAGCTTCAGTAAGTGGTTTGTTAGTTTGAAAAGATTCAGAAGAATCAATGATATCAAAAAGAAACATTGTAAACAAACAAACAAAAACAAACATCTGATATCATCAAATGAAATGAAATGACAATGAAAACACACATTACACAGCTTTACACATTAAACAAATCAGACATACCGTTCTTTGATTTGTTTTGCTGCCTGAAAACAAAACAAAAAAACATTTTTAGTTTTTTTTAAATGAACTGATGACATCATCTTTCTTGTCTTCATCACGCCTCACCGCGAGAAATTCTTCTTCAGTGTTGATCGTAAGTGTTTGATTTGCAAAGTCAAGAAGCTCCTCGCAAGAGACCAGAGCAAACTTGCCCTCTGACAGCTGCTTCTGAAACACCATGCAGAAAACAACCCAGTCAAGCAATCAATAGCTTCAAAAATAAAAAATGGAAACAAATAAAGTGCTGCCAATGAATAGATATAAAAAATATTTATGAATGTATATACATTAAATGTAAAATATTATTTATTTGCAAAGTAGAAAAAATCACGTTAAAAACAATGAGTAAATAAATATGTAAAACTAAATAATATACTAAAAAATAAAGTGTTCCAGATAAAAATAATTCATTAAAAAATAAAGTTTCTACCTGAAGCTCCGCCTCCTTTCTTTGCTTCTCTTCTTTGATTATGTAACGGAGCTCCGCCCCCTTCTCCTCCAGGGCAGAGTTTAGCTTCTCCAACTCTGCCTCCAAGTCTGACATCACCTTGCATGACTCCTCCTGATTTAGCAAAGTTAACTTTAGTTATTTTTCCTTTAGTTTCTCTTGTCCCATCCACCTAAGCCCTTCCCTTTGTTAATTCAGCTGATTAATGAGCTGACCTGCAGGCCCGTCAGCGTGTGATCAACTGCTTCCAGGAAGTTTTGGAGCTCCTCGTTCTTACTGGCCAATGTGCTGATAATCCTGCGCAGAGCTTCCTGTTTACAAACAAACATTTAAAAAATAAACTATTTTTTACAGCACCTTCCTCCATGTTGGTGAAGCCTTAAGCAGCACTAAGTAATCACAAAACTGTTAGAGCAGAGACAGCGAGACACACAGAGCTCCTCTTCCTCATCTTCCTCCCTGATTCCACACCTGACAGAGACCAATCAGACGAGAGCATCGGCTCAGAAGGCGGGTTAAACACCTCGACCAGGATCAGCCTCCGTAGACAATAATGGACCAAAGAAGGCTTGGCATCCTAGCTGAGGTGAATACAACCATCACCATCCTGCCAGTCTCTGGCCCGCACACACCTGCCTACTCCACCTGTTAGAACTGCAGCTGTCCGACCTTCAGATGGCGCTCTCATTGGTTAAAGACTCAACGGAAGTCTGGCAGGAAGTCTGGACACACTGAACCAAAATAAAAGGTGAAAGCATAGATCGAAGCTTCACCTGGTAGCCCTGAGATGATGATGCTCTAAGAATGAACTGACTGACTATTGATTGAATGATTGACATGTACATTTTGTTGGCTGTGCACTGATACTGAACTGTAATTTCACGCTTTTGTAACGCGTATGTTTTTAGAAACTCAGTAAAGCACATTTGAACAGGAATGAGGTATTTTACTATGAAAATTACTTCGGATGTACGGGTTTTATTTTGAAACTTGGAGGGTTCATTGTGACCCCAAAGTCTGAACACGCTAAAGGTCATGTGACCCCCACCTGTACTCGCCGACTGATCAGTATGTTATAATGCACAGCTCTTGTTCTCACTGAAGCTCGGTCCACCAGAGAAAGAGAAGCTAACCACTAACAGCTAGCAGCTAATCCCCCCTCCTCTGCTTCCATTTCCTTGCACCTCTCCCTCCACCACGTCCGCCCCCCCCCCCCTCACTCCCCTAACTTTCACTCACTGCTCGATTGATCACCGATTGATCACACTCTTACCTTCTGAGCGTCCATCACCTGAGACAGAAACAGCGGTAAGTGGGGACGAAGGTACGGGCCTGAAGTGACGGCATACGTATGTACATACTCATTTCCTGTGAAGTGTGTCAAAATAAGAGCGCGGAGAAGAGAAAACTGATGGGGATGTATATTAGTTATTGATTCTGATGTTTGCGCAGTAGTGTGCAAAAGTCTTGAGTCAGACCTTCTGGTTATTTTAAAAGTGCCCTTGAGCAAAAGTTCTCCTGCTTTCTGAAAGTTTAAAATTCTTCCTTGGCTTTTTTTGACATGTGTTCAAACCAGTCCTTGTACCTGACCTCTGAACTTTGACCTGTGAGTAAAAGTTCAGTGTGGGATCATCCTGACAGAGCACACAACATAAGGCAGAAACATCCAAACAACAGCTTTGAATGCCCTTCAAGAAACTACAGTGGGAGACCCTCACAGAGATGACGGAGAGCTGCTCAGAGAGCTCAGCTGAAGGATGAGGAGCACTCACAGCAAGTATTGACTTTCTGGTGAAAATCTGGAGGGCCTGCAGCTGGAGGAGATGATCAGGGGCTGAAGCAGTGGCTTCACTGAGTTTTACCTCAGAGATTTGAATGATTTCAGAGAAGCTCCTCTGAACCCAGAGCTGCTCCTGTTGTTTGAGTCCAGGAGGAGACAAATGGAGGAAACATGAACATTAATGAAACACATTAAACGGTAAAAAGAGGCAGCAGTGTTCCAGTCAAACCTTCAGAGCAGACGATTCTCATTGGATGAAACAGTATTTGTTGGATCTGACTTGAAGAATCCTCAATGTTTTTGCTTTGATTTTAAGGACCTACCTAAAGCTTTCTCCAAGATTGCAGACGCCATCACCTGCTGCTTTACACATTTGTGTGACTGAGTTTCTTTATTCAGCAGGGTGTTTACGCAGCACAGCAGCTGAATGGCTGTTTAAAGACTACTCAGTCTAAGCCTCACTCAGATTTTCCTTCACTTCTCACATCCAGTGAAAGTTAAACCTTCCTGTTCATCCACAGATCAGCTCCAAACCGCGACACACATTAAAATCACCAACACGTTTCATCATCATCGATTCAATTATATTTATACAGTGCCCAATCCCACCAGCCGACTCAGCTTGACTTATACTATCCAGAATACAGGGGGGGTCTCCCTGTAGTCTGGATATTCTGGATAGCATTCAGATGATTTCCTCACTCTCGGTTCACATCAACTTTTTTGATGTTTTTTACAGGTTTTATAAATAAAGTTTGTAATGATCACGAGACCAACTTTCTGCACCTAAGATGTCAAATGTGATTGGCTATAATCGTCTTCATTACCTCCTGTTTAAAGCTGCAATAAAACAGGTCACACCAGTGTTTCAAACTTTATTGACAGAGCCACAGAGAGCAGCAGATTTATGTTGTCACATGAAATCAGACAGCAGACAGGAAGTGGATCAGTAAAAACAGAAAGCTGGTATCATGTTGCATTCGTTTAATGTTCAGATTTAAAATCAAGAACCAAAAATCTGCTCATTTAAATTATGTGCTTCAGTTCAGTTTACAGCAATAACTTACGGTTTACAGTGTTATCTGTTTCCATGGCGACACACAGAAAGTCTTCTGCCAAGCCTCGTCAACCGTCTCAGGTGGGTCAGGTATTCGAGTCAGCAGCAGACTTCCAAAGAAGAAGAGAGGTTCTGACAGAACAGATGACCAACTGAAGGGCGGGTCTCTGACTGACTCAAAGACACTGAATGTGATTGGTCAGAAGCTGAGAGGGGGCTCACTAATTGGTTGGATCCAACTGTTCTGTTCAGAACCAAACTCAAAAAACATGAAAAACTATCAAAGGCGCTGAATTATCAACATCATCATCATCAGTGTCCATGGTTACTGTCATGTTAGGGGGGTGGGGCCATGCAGGGTAAGGCAGGGGGCAGAGCTAAGCGCTACACATCTTTAGTGGTATAAAAACATAAAAAGTTCATGTTAGAGTTTCTTTGAGTTGATGGACAGCTGGCAGCAGCCAATCAGGAGAGAGGAGCAGGTGAGGGGGTGGGCACAGCACTTAAATACACTCACTTTCTGTACAGTTCATCTCATAAACATTTCCTGTTGGTCTTGCATATTTACACAGATGTCACGATGTATGAGCCGCGTTCGCCACCGCCCCCACTGCTGCCACCGCCCCCACTGCTGCCACCACCCTCGCCTCCCTTTGGCTCGCGTTTCTTCGTGATTGGGGTGGGGATAAGGGAGGGCCGCGTAGGGGTAGTGGAAGATGATGTGGTGGTAGTGGGTGCTGTGCCTTCAGCACTGCTCTTCCTTGGGCTTGGCGTGTAGTTGAAGGGGCTGACTCGGGCCGCAACGGCACCGCTGCGCTGCTGAGCGCGCTGCTGCTGGTGCGGCGGCTGTTGCGGCCGGCTCTCGATCGGCGCTGGCTTTTCGTCAAGGCTCTCGCAGCTGCGGCGCAGGTTAAGGTTAGAGGAGGAAGAGGAGGAGGAAGACGGGATCTTGGAGGGAGCGGGGCTGTCGATGATGGGTGGGGCATTGATGGCAGTAGGCGAGCGGGCAGAGCAGGAGGAGGAGGAGCGGGGGTTGTTGACAGGGCAGTCCTCCAGCCGGACCCACACGTCTTCGGACTTGTCGGCGAAGCCTCGGTTGCTGAGTGGGTCGCCGCTGCTCTTTGCCTTTCTCCACGTTCCCTTCAATCTCATGGCACTCTCCTCCTCACTCCGTCCCTTCTCGCTGGACTCGGAGGATGCTGACAGCACGGACGATGAGCTTCCCGTTCTTTTCCAGGTGCCGACGCGCGGCAGAGAGGTTGAGTGTTTCCCGCTGCTGGCTCCGCCTCCCCCGCTGCTGTTTTCCCGTTTCCAGGTGCCGGTGCGGCTGAAGCGAGATGATGTCACTTCCTGTGGGCGTGACGGGCTTTCAGAGTGTGAACGGTTGACGTCGTTTCTCCTGGCAGTTGAAGGTAGTGGCGAGTCTGGGCTGGATGGCGACTCGAGAGCGGCTGCCACTGCAGTCTCCTCCAGCTTCCTCTTCAGTGTCGGGCTCGGAGCTTCTTTGATAAAGGTTGACTGCCTTACGAGTGCCGGCTTCTCAGGCTCCGCCTTTTGCTTCTTGGCGGCAGTGGAGCCACTGACTCTCGATGTGGACTCGCTTCTCGGGATGCCACCACCACTCTTCGGGGTTGTGGTGGGTTTAGTGGTCCTGGATGCAGAGGATGATGATGCACTTCCTGGAGAAGCCGTGCGTGGCAGCTGCGAGAGCTTCCCTCCTTTCTGACTGGGTGCTGGGGTGGAGCGAGATGGGGTGGAGTCCCGAGAGGACCCGCCCACTCGATCTACATCGCTGCCTCCAGGAGCTTTGGCCACAGCAGCTGCTCGGGGCTTGCTCCGCCCCCTGGCTGCCGGCTCCGCTCTTGGCTTTCCAGTGATCAGACTCCTGTACACCTTCTTCCCGCCCCTCAAAGCCTTTGCTTCCTCCTCTTCCTCCTCCTCCTCTCTCTTCTTCTTGGCCTCCAGCGTGCTGCGCTCACCAGGCTTCAGGATCGTCGCGCCTCGCTTTGTCTTCTCCTCTGGTTCCTCCTCCTCTTCGTTGTTATTAGCTGTTGTAAGGTGGAAGGGCGAGCCGACAGATTTCAACGACAGGACCGAGTCAGAGTCTGATGATGGCTGGCGGGAGAGTGAGGAAGCAGCGGCAGCGGCATTCAAGCTGCTGACGATGGAGTTGGCACCTTCTTGGATGGCCTTCCAATCAAAGGACTCTGAATCTGGAGAGGCAGGGCTCCTTGGTGCATCTGAAGGCTCCTCCTCAGGCAGAATGCCATCTTCAGCTTTGGAGACAGATAGAGGCGGGGCGGGTACAGGGAGGGTGGTGGTTTTCTTTTTCTTCTTGGGCATGGCGGAACTGATGCACTCCTGCAGCAAGTCGTCCTCCGAGTCTATGCTCAGTGAGCTCAGCGAGGAGTTCCTGGAGAAGCACACGGGCGTGTCCTCAACATGAAAGGCTTTAGGTGCATAGCCAGTGGCCGCAGGGGGGCGAGGCTTTGACTCCACCTATCAGGGATAGAGGAGCACAGAGGGACATCTGTCACAAGACTGATACATTTCTGTGAAGCAAAACTGTAACTCCACCAGGAAGTAACAAAGTAACAAGTAAACAAGGTAAACAGTACACACTACACTAATTACGCCTTACTCTGTGTACTCTCTACACTGAGTACTACTCTGTGTACTCTCTGCTCTAAGTACTTTACTCAAGTATCTAGACACACCTCTGCTGGAGGGGGTGGAGACTTTGCCCCCTCTTTGCCTTTGTCTTGCTGCTCCGGCGGGGGTGGGGCAAACTCCTTGTTGTTGTTCTCCTGGTCGATGTCGCTCAGTGAGCTCAGCGAGGAGTTCCTGGAGAAGCATACGGGCGTGTCCTCAATAGCGAACTTCTGCTTCTCGTCCGTGGCCGTCTGATTGGTCGGTGGTTTTGTGCGTGGAAAAACGGCAGCTGTCTGCTGCTTCTTCTTCCTGCCTTCTTCTTCTTTTGCCTTCTTTTCTTCTTCGTCCTTCTCGCCGCCATCCTCTTCATCAAAGTCCAGCGAGCTCAGTGAGTCATTGCGTGAGAAGCAGCATGGCGTTCCTTCAATCGGCGTGTAGTGGCGCGGCGAGTCAAATGCGAATCCCGGCTTTGCTTTTGCAGCTGCTGTTGTGGTGACGCCATACAGCGCCCGCTGAGGCATCGGCTTCACAGGCGATGTTGGCTTCTTCTTCTGCTGCTGCGGGCCAAGGGGAGACGGGGCCGTTGGAGGGAGAGGAGGCGGTAAAGGCGGGGTTTGCAAGTGCTCGCTGTTTGCCGCTGCTCTGACAGGCTTCCTGGGTTTGGCTTTGGGCATGGCAGCACTAATGCACTCGGCAAGAATGTCATCTCCGTTCTCGCCCTCAGGAAACCCTGCCCTTCTCCTAGGGGCAGAGGTGGGTTGGGCTACAGGTACGAGGCCCGCTCCCATCTGCTCATTGGGTGGGGAGTCAATGGTCAGATCACTAAGAGACGTGGCAGTGGAGAAGTTGAGCGGCGTTCCCTCCACACAGTAAACTCTGGGCACCTCCTCCGGCGGCGGCATGTCCTTCCTGGGCTGCGGTTGGGCACGGCTTTGAGGTGAGAGGATTTTGTAGACAGGAAGCTGGCTTGGTTTCCGTGGTGCTGCTTGCTGCTGCTTCTTTGGTTTCCGTGATGATTTGGGCATGGCCATGTTGATACATGCCTCCAGGATCTCAATGTCATCGTCATCATCTGATTCATCAAGGATGGGTTTAGGAGGCTCTTCCTTCCTCTCCTCAACCCCACCCTCATCCTCCTCTTTCTTCTTTTTCATCTCCGCGGGAATGTAGGGCTCATCCAGACTGAGTGCGCTCAGACTGGAGGCACGGGAGAAGCCATGCGGCGTGCTCTCGGTGGCAAAGTGCAGCAGTACGTCGGCACTGCTTTCCTCCTCATCCTTCTTCTTGGCCTTTTCCTCCTCCTTCGTCTTCTGCGGCGGTGGTGGTGTCTTGGCACGGCTTGGTGGCATGGTCTGACCTGGGCTGTCGGGCAGGTCACTGGGGCTCACCACGCCGCTCGGCATGCCGCTGGAGGGCTCGCTGGAACGCACGGAGCTGGCAATGGAGGAGGTGGAAAAGCTCTCGAGCGAGCTGACGGACGTGCAGCGGCTGAACATCAGCGGTGTCTCCTGAGCGTACGGCTGCTCCGGCGGGCTCTTAGGAGTCCTTGCGCCTGATGAACTCACATGGTGATGGTGGTGATGATGATGGCTATGGTGGTGGTGGTGGCTACGGCGCCCCCGTGTGGATGGTGCAGCAGTGGTCTGGCTCTCAGCCTCTTTTCGCTGCTGCTGCTCATGTGCGTCCTTCTCACTGACAGGGAGTGTCGGGTAGTCGATACCGCCGCCGCTCCCCCCTTTCCTCTTTCTTGTTATGACATCACCGTCTTCCTCCTCTTCAGAGGACAGCGAGGATAGCGAACTGCCTCTGGAGAAGCAGATGGGTGTGTCCTCTACGCAGTATGTCTGTGTCGACTCCTGGTTGCTTTTTGGCGCCCCCCGGGTGCTGGGAGGAGGTGGTGGGCGGAGCTTGCTGGCAGAGTTTGATGGGGGTGGTGGAATAGAGGAGGAGGCGGTCTCCTCTGGTTTGAAGAGCTTTTTACGTGTGGCATCAGTGCCGTACTTTAAGCTGTAGTCGATTGGCTGCTCGGTCGTAGACTCTGTACCATAATTCGATGTTGCTGTGACAACGACATAGCGTGGAGGCGAAACTGCTGCCATGTGCCCGCTACCGGCTGCTGAATCACTGCCGTCGTTCCTCCTCAGTCTGGCGTCCTGCTCACTGTCATCATCGCTCTCAATGGCGCCGCGATGATTAGGGCTCTGGCGCCCAGAGTTCAGCTGTTCGTCAGAGTACTTGAGGCTATAGTTTATGGGCGTGTCCAGCTCTCCGCCGTCATCGTCCGCCATGTGGTTGGCGCTGCGTATCTTATGGGCCAGATCAGCTGGGTACTTCCTGTAGACACAACACTTGTTAGCGCTGCTCTCGTCTGACGAGTAGAAGGGTTCAGAGGACGGTTTGGTCTTCCCACGGTTGCCGTAACCATCAGCGCTCGTCACACTGTTAAGGCTGTCGCTGGACGCCCGCACGCTGGGCGGGAACACTGAGCGAGTGTATGCTGCTTCCTCGCTTGCCCTCTTTGATCCGTCTCCATTCTTTGGGCTCGATAGCACCGGCGTGTTGGTATATGAGCGCGTGACGCTGCCTGCTCCTCCTGTGGCACCATTACAGCCCCGCCCCTTCCTGTGCGCCGCCTTGGGGCTCAGGTTGTCGATGTTGTCGAAGGTCTCCGACAGCTGTTGTGCATCCAGCTCCTCGAATAAAGCTTTCTGTTTACGGGCCTGTAGTGATGGGGCGCCTGCACCAGGAGACACCACGCTGGCATCCTTGTAGCGTGCTGGGCGGTTGGCCATCAGGTTACGCAGCGCAGCGGCACTGCCCATGGCGATCATTTTATGGCGTGAATGGATGAGGTTGCGCAGCATGCCCACGGCGCCCAGCTCCCAGAGGGCCTCCTGGTCTTTGGTGTCGCGGGCAGAGAGGTTCCAGAGCGTGCCACAGGCGTTGGACACAATGGTCAGGCTGTGAGACTTCAGGTGCTGCAGCAGCGTTGGCAGGCAGCCATGTTCCCGTAGGATCTGCCTGCAGGACAAGAACAGGGAGAATAGTCAGAGAGACAGTGCAAGTTCATATCCAACGCTTTGTTTACCCAAGTTTACTTTACCTGTGCGCCTCGTTGGTGGCGATAAGGCTTGAGACGTTTCGCAGGATGCCACCACCACTTTCAATTATGGCGAGTGTGTTGGTGTGGCTGCGATGCGTCAGTGTCCCCACCAAAAACGCCAGAGCACCGTCCACAGCGCAGATATCAGCCTTATTCTCTGTGCAGTGAGCCGACAGGTTCCAGAGCGCACTCAGTACAGACTTCAGCGTCGACTCCTGTAGAAGGACAGGAAGAAGAAATGGTTTCAGAGCATGCTTAGTGTAGATACATTAACAGGAGAAGAACAGAACGTTTACCTTCTGCACCTCGAGAGCGCAGCCCATCAGCGCTCGGACACTGCCGACCTCACGTAGCGTCTTCTTACTGTTAACATCAGCACGCCAGGACAGGTTCCTCAGCACGCTAGCTATCACCTGAAACAGCGAATCACAGCAAGGGGTCACTTAACAAATCTTTCTAAAGGACAGGTGGACGCTGTGTAGGGCTGCTGGATTATGGCAAAAATGATAATCACGATTATTTTCACTGAAATTGAGATCACGATTATTTGACGATATTTATTTAACCCTTTAAGACCTACTATAGAACCAAGTCCACCAGAGCTTATATTATTTTTTTTACATGCTGTAGTGCCATTTGTGGGAGCATTTCAAGTTGCTATACATCAATACAACTGTTATAGCCCATATTTTAATAATATGTATGCATTAAGTACATAGTAATTACATAAATTGCAAAAAAGTGCAATAAACTACAAAAAAAATTGAAAATCGCTTTTGTTTTGTTTACATATATTTCTACTTGGAGAAATTTAAGAGGTTTATCCCTCAAAACTTTAAATACAATAAAGTTGCAAAAAATAGTTTACAACAACAGGAAATTTATTTTGAGTGTCTTCATAGTTTTATTTTGGAGATACAGCAATTTTTATATACTGCAGGAAAAACAAAAAACAATCCTATGATGCAAATTTGCAAAGAAAACAGCATGTGCATCATTTCACTGTGGGAAGTGTTACGAACAGCTGATAGGAACGGCAAAGCGTGTTTCTGGAATATTATGTTTTTGTTCCTGCAAGCGCTTTTTATGCAATTTTTGCAAAGCTATATGTGGAACGAAACCGTGACCGAGGACAAGCTGATGGCATCAGATGTAAGTACAACTCCTCCGGTTTCATATGCAAAACAAATTATTGCGCTAGCTTACACGGTTCAGTTTCTACAGGGATTTAACAATAGTTACGCAAAACGGAGCTTACTGCTCTGACCGGCTTTAAAGGGTTAACAATGACTTTAAAAAATAATATAAAATAGTGTGCAACACCACTGAAGTTTTTTTTTTTTTAACTCTCTTTTCAACCAACGGCAGTCACTCTCCTCTCCAAATAACTTCTGCTTAGCTTTCCGAGCTTCCCTCGGGTCCTCTTAATCAGCGGTCTCCAACCTTTTTTGCGCCACGGACCGGTTTATGCCCGACAATATTTTCACGGACCGGCCTTTAAGGTGTCGCGGATAAATGAGGGAGGGGCTAATAATCGGCTCAGTCATTTTTAATGATCGTTGAAAGCCCAGATCGTAATCGTGATTAAAATTCGATTAATTGAGCAGCCCTAACGCTGTGACATAATGGGTTGGCGGTGGAGCCATGTGTGCTTACCTGCTGCAGGTCTTCACTCTCAGACTTGAGCTGAGCGACCATTGCTCGCATGCAGCCCTTCATAGAGCACAAAGTGGCCTGAAAAAAAAAATACAACACGAGGGTCATCATCTTCCTTTCATCTGATTGGTTAATCAGTCGAAAAAGTAAATTAAGTTCCTCTTACCTTATTGGCTACATCTCCAAAGGTGAGATTGGTGAGTGCCATGCCAGCGTATCGCCGCAGAGTGATGCTGTAGTGATCGCTGCTCAGACCGAACATCTCGCAGTCCACCTGTAGCAGCTCCGCCACCGCCTGCAGACCGCCTGCAGGGACAGAACACCCCAGTGTGAGCAACAGGAAACAGGAAGCAAGGAGCAGGAAAGACGGTTCAGGAAATGAGACGGAGCGGGAAACAGGGAGGCAAACCCAGAGAAACCCACCGAGCTCGTTCATGGCGTGCCGATGCTCTTCGTCAAAGGACAGCTTCATGAGGACACAGACGGCTGGACAAATCTGATGCTCCACAGGGGACGGCACTGAGAAGACACACACACATTACACACATAACATCTGCTGACTGCTCACTGGTGGGCACGTGTGTGACTTCACTCACTGGGGTTGTCCTCCTGGTCGACACCCCTCTCATGATTCTCCTGCCAGGTCCAGCATGCCTCGCAGTAATGGCGCACCTGCTCCAACAGGTGGAGCACTCTGATCTCTCGCCGCCCTCTCTTATCGTCCGGCTGACTGTGCACAATGTTGTGGAGCGCCGCTGACGCCCGTGCGCGCGCCTCCTTACTGCCACGGGAGTTACCTAGGCAACACAAGAAAACGAGTGAGGTCACATGACAACAGGCATATGTATCACTACTGAACGACTTGACCGTTACCTAGCAACAAGGAGTCCTTGTCGTTGCCATGCAGCAGCTGAATGAGCAGCGGCAGACAGCCAGACTGACGCATAGCAATGCACGAGTCCTGTGAGCTTGACATGGCGAGCAGCGTCCGTGACATGTCGTCCTTATCGTGTGTCCCCAGCATGGACAGCAGGCTGTACACCATCTCCACCTGCCAGGGGTGACACAGGTGTACCCCGCATGTGAGACACTGTTAAACGGTACGCAGGTGAAGCAGTTTTGTTGTCAAGGAGACTTACTTTGGTTCCCAGATGGCTGGTGATTCGCCGAGGCACAGAATAGCTCGTCTCATTGGCTGGCTCGGTATCCAAACGAGTGCCTGCGCTCTGCAGCAGGAGTGACGGTTTAAAAATCAGGTTCAAAGAAGAGATTCCAAAGTAAAGATTCCAAGTGATGTTACATGACGAGTTGCTCACCTGCGCCCCAGCCAATCCGCTGCTTTCGCTCGCCCCCTGAGCACCTTCAACCTGGAGAGAAAGGAGAGAAAGTGAGGCGCAGGCTGGGTAACAGATGAGCGTGTAAGGTGAGGTGTTTGCATATGATCCTTACAGGTGAGGTTACCTGCAGCCGGGCCCCGAGCCGCAGGATGTCTTTCTCTATCTGCTGTATCCGAGCCACGCGAGTCTGAAACACAGAGTACAGGTGTCAAAACACATTTACAGATACGGGTACAGACGCAGGTGAGCTCCTCCTACCTGAGCTCTCCTCTCCATCTCCTTACAGGAGCCCAGCTGCTTCTCCATCGCTGTTCGCAGCTGATGGGCATCATACTCAAGCTGACGGCGATTTAAGTCTGTCTGTAGAGAGAACTGACACGGATGCCCTCATTAACACATTAACATTAACCAGTTTGACTCTAGCCCACTCCCACACCGTTGCAGGAGTTCTTACATTCCCAGTGAGCGGCAGACTGTCGATCCTCTTGGTGAGATCCTGCAGCTGAGCGTAGTACCAGTCCTTCTCCTTCTCCTCCTTATCCAGCTCCGCCAATAGGAGAGACCTGCCAAGGGCAGCAGCCAATCACAGGGCAGGAGAAATAGGCGGGAAAAACAAATGAAGCAAATAAAACATAGAAACAATTAGAAAACTGAATAGTCTGACCTTCTGCATCAGCTAAAAACAATTTGACCATTTGATATTCTGTGATATATGTAGGTTCTACTACATCAGCAGTATCCTCAGTAATACCTCTAAAGCATTACTGTGTGCATTTGTAGCTTAGCGTAAACATGCTCATAGTACTCTCAATACTTTCACTACTCCATTGTATTCTCTCTGTGTTCTCAGTATCTACAGTACTCTCAGTACTCTGTAGTGCTCTAACTGCTACGCAGTATTACCTCTCTTTCTCCAGCTCCTCCAGGCAGCGGTCGTGGCCGTCTCTGCCCGCAGATGGCAGCCCTCTCCTGGGAAAGGCAGCACTTGTTGAGGGGCCTGGAGCTCCGGAGCCTCCCACTGCTCCTACAGGAGCTCCAGAGGATGAGGAGGTGGAGCCGGGGGCTAGGAGAGGGCGGGATCGGGACTTAAAGCCGGCCGAATCAAGACTCAGCTCTGAGGGTGGGAAACTCAGTGAGCACATGCTGAGCTGCTTCTTCTTCGACCTGCGTCTGGATGTGTCAGACTCACCTTTTAACCGTCCAATGAGCTCCAGCTGAGAGCCACAAGCCTCCCCAGACTCTTCTTCTATGGTGCCCTGAAGCTGCTTCAGCACTTCCTGCTCACAATGAGAAAGAAAACAAAGAGGATGAAATCAGTTCCTACTCTGACCCTCTAATACTCTCTCTCACACACTCACACGCTGTTTCTGCAGCACACAGAACAAAACGCGTCGCTTTCAGAATAAAGCAGAGATCACTCACCACGATGAGTCGGCAGCGTTCAAACAGAGACATGATGGAAACCAAACTCACTCTGACCGTCTTCACTCATCGACACAAACCAGGAAATGGGAAACAGGAAGTAGGAAGTGAGGGTGTGTTTGGAGACGAAGGACGGGACAATAACGAGAACAAAAAACATGAACAATAAAGATCCAACTTCAAGATGACCGACCACGAGAGAAACTCCAACACGCTGAAAACGTGCAGGATGAGCTCCACGGAGCAGGAAAAATATGAAGAATCGAAGTTCAGTAAAATCACAGGGAAGAGAGGAAGAGGACAAAATGCTGCAAACAGGAAGAAGAAAACTGATGGAAAAAGAGTTAAAAGGACAGAGTGCTCACTCTGCCCGTTTCCTCCATATCACGCCAAAGATCCTCTGACGCCTCATTCTGACCAACAACAACGAGCTCATTCTCCCGGTCCGCAGCACGTGATTGGACAAAAACAGCAGTGCAGCTATTCTAGGCCTTAGGGCGAGAGACACCGGTTGCATACGCAGAGAGAAAGAGCAAGAGAGAGAGCGCAAAACAAACACACACACACGCATAAAGTTTTGCTCTTGCAGTCAGCTGACTAATCACTGCAACAGCAGGGGCGTGGCCACACGTATGAACACACATGTGACACCCTGTGATAAGTAGGGATGGGTATCATTTAGGTTTTATCCGATACCAGTACCAAACCGGTACTTTTGAAACGGTGCCGGTGCTCAAACCGGTGCTTAAAGAATGGAGAACACAAACTTTGTCCAAAAACCTCTCATGTTTAACTGTTTTCCACTTTTTCTTTGGTCATTTTAGCCTTTTTGGCCAGGGTGAAAGGAGTATCTGCCATCAAACAAGAAGACAGCCGCATGTAGCTATGATGATGTTTGCTAGTTCACCTTACATGCATTAATGTAATAACGTGGTTAGCCTACTCAACCTAAATTACACATGAACAACATTAAGCTACTCACGCAGAGAAGAACAGCTGCTGCTGCATCATCATCCGTCATCATTTCTGCTACACTGGCAGGGCTAGGGGCCAGGACTCTCCTCTTCGTGTTTTTGGGGGATGTTGCTAACTCCGGTCCGATAACAGGCACCACACCCGCAGTAGATGTGCACGGCGTGAGGTCTCGCAGCAAGCTATCAAATACGGCGCATTTCTCAGCTTATAAAAAAAACGCTATGCGTCACCAGGTGTTTCATCAGATTCGAGGAGTTACCTCCTTTGCACAGTATCACCTTAAAGCACTTGTTGCAGGCTGCTGAGTTTGCAGCTTTTGCTGTGAAGTACAGCCAGACCTCTGACCGCTTCACCTTGGGCGTTTTTAATCTGTAGCTCTGCTCTAAAAGAACGTACGTACCTGGGCCCGCCTACTACACTTGCAAAGGTAAAATGATTGGCTAGAATCCAAAGTGTATGACATCTCAGGAAAAAAAAAAAGCACCGAAAAAAAAATCACCGAAATGTGCGCTGCTTTTCGGTCTGGTTACTACCGTTTATGTCAGAACCGGTGCCATCATGGCACCGGATACCGGTACCCATCCCTAGTGATAAGTTTAAAAAAAAAAAAAAAAAAAAAAAGCCTTTATTAATTTTAATGGCCATCATTTTAATACAGTCTTTACACTGAGTTGTGGTCACTGCGCCCTCTTATGGCAAACAGAAATTCAGCTTTAGCAGATAATCAACTTCAAGAAGAGAACTGGAACAGATTGATAAAGTTTAAAACAGCTGTGAGTCAGACTGAAAAAACTTTATTTAAATCTTATCTGTTTGCAGTTTTAACTGGAAGTTTGAGGGAACATTTGAACATCTGATGTTTCTGATGTGAGCGCTGCCACCTACAGAGCCTGACTGATCAATATATTTAAACCATTAGACACACACACGCACACACACACAGGCACGCACACAGAGCAGCACCTGCTCAGATAAGCACTCACCTTCATGTTGGAGGCCTCTGTCTCCAGCTTGGTCAGGTGGTTGGAGTTGTCCTGCAGCTCCTGTCTCAGGTTTGAGTTCTCCATCTTTAACACCTCGACCTGCCTCAGCAGCTGGTCATACGACGCCGCCGCCATGTTGGACCCGAGTGTGACCTGCAGACAGACAGCAGCCAATCAGAGTGCATGTGGGCAAGGACAGGAGTGTTTACGTGTTTTCAAAGGCGGAGTTGAACTCAACAACAATACCTGAACTTAGATACTAATAAAGTTTTATTAAAGAGATGCCAGCAGCCAGTAATCAATAAGCTTACTGATCTGCAGCACAAAACATCTGCATAAACATGAGAACCACCACTCAAAAGCCCCACCCACACCTGAAGCCCCACCCATATGGGAACAGCTGGTCTGTTGAAGATAATAATGATGAAGTGCAGCAGTTACTGACACTTCTTGTGTCCCAGAGCAAACCTCTGTACAAAGACTACTATTAATGGACCCTGCAACATGTTACCATGGCAATGGTACAGAGACAGTGTGACCGCAGTATAAGCGTCACAGGAGATAATGTCACAAAAGATCAGAACCAACGTGTAAAATTAAAATGACGATAAATCATTGAGGAACTTTTCCTCGAAAGAAAAGTGAGACATGACAAAGTTGACAGACCTTATTCCTCCACGTTTCGAAGGACAGCGTGGAAGGCCAATGAGAGAACAACACTGTTTCCGCCAATCATGTGGCTGGAACAGAGTGGGCGATCAAAAATGAAATGAAACACTCGAGCGACAGCGTTACAGACCATGGTGTCCCAGCAAATGAGGGTGAAGACGACGACCTCTGAAGTAGCGTCATCCTTCAGAGCACGCTCAGTGCTCACTTCCTCCCATACTGCGTTTTAGAACACAAATATCTGCAGTGACATCATAAACAGCCTGCTTTATTGTTGTTTCCCATGATGCTGTGCAGCTGTTCATATGGTATTATTATTTTATTATCAACATTATTAACATTAACCCTGTGGAACTCCATAATTAACCTTAGTGTGAAGAGGACCACCACATGAACAAATTGGAGTCTATTAGATAGATATGATTCAAACCACTGCAGCACAGTACCTGTAATACCTACATCATGCTCTATTTGTTCTAATAGAATATTATGGTCGACAGTATCGAACGCTGCACTAAGGTCTAGCAGGACAAGCACAGAGACGAGTCCACTCTCAGAGGCCATAAGAAGATCATTTGTAACCTTCACTAAAGCTGTTTCTGTGCTGTCATGAGCTATGAAACCTGACTGAAACTATTCAAATAAACCATTCCTCTGCAGATGATCTGTTAGCTGTTTGACAACTACTCTTTCAAGGATTCTTGTTATGAAAGGAAGGTTGGAGATTGGCCTGTAATTAGCTAAGACAGCTGGGTCAACAGATGGCTCTTTAAATAACAGTTTAACTACTGCTGGCTTGAAGGCTTGTAGTACAGGACTGCAGTCTTGTAGGAATAAAGTCTAAAAGACATGTTGATGGTTTGATGATGGAGGTTGAAGGAGAAAGTAATTGCTGAAGTTAACTCAGAAAGATTCATTGGAGAAAAAGACTAAATCAGGGGTCGGCAACCCTAGGCACGCGTGCCACAGTTGGCACGCATGCGGGTTAACTGATGGCACGTTAACCTGGCCATCGGGCATACTGGGCATTTGCTCGGTGGCCCGGTGACTTCTTTTTTTTCTTCTTCTTTGTAACGGTATAAACAATGAAAGGTGGTGGATTGGCCAGATGCTGGTCGGTGTGTAAAAATAACTCAGTTGTTTGGTGATGGCTATGGCGGTGCTTCCTCAGATTTCGTTTAGGTAGAGTTTATTTTCGTTGTGCTGACTTTTTAGTCAGTTGCAATAACTCGTACTGCATGCTAGCTAGTAGGGATGTACGGATCGATACTGAAATATCGATTCCTCCGATACCAGTCATTTATGTTCTAGAATCGATTCTCACATTAAAATATCGATATTTTAGTAATTTAGGGTAAATTTGTAGTTTATCATTAACAAGAACACAGTGGAAAGAAACTATATCATTCGGATTGTCTACATTGGAAGGAACTACTTCCTCTTCCACCTTTCATAGTCATGTGCGAAATACGGCTGTATAAATGCCTCGCAGCCCCTTGGCGTGCGCACTCACAACAATGGCTGAACATAAATGGAGTCATGTGCGGACGTATTTTACATCCACAAACAGCCGAGACGTGGTTTGCGATACATGTGGCAAGAAAGTGAGGTGTTGTGGCAACACCACTAACCTTGTCAAACATCTCAGAGCAAATCATATCACAGAAAAAGACGATCGTATGTTGAGGTGAACTGAAGAGGAGGAGTGGACAGGGACAGGTGCTGCTAGGGCAAGACAAACGTCTCTCACGGAGTCCTTTAGTGCTGCAGGCGAGCAAGGTGTTCAAATAGCGCACAACTTCAGGTTTTTTATTTCTATATGATTAATTCTGCATTATTAAGTAAGAACAAGTAATCTGATGTCCTGTAATCATTATGACGCTGTAATTTGAGATACAATAAAAGATGCAATAAATAAAATACGTTTTTGTACAAAGTATCGTATCGGATTAGTATCATCGATACCACCCTGAATTTTACTTGGTATCGGATTGGAAAGGAAATCAGTGGTATTGCATATCACTACTAGCTAGCATGACGGAGTTTCTATACAGCTAGGTGGCTGCTTTGATGTTACTGATGTTGAACCGTCCCGTAAAAAGACGGAATCGTCCCGCATTCAGAGAAAATGTTACGCGTTTCGTGTTGAGCTGAAAAGGAACAGTTTGTCCCGTAATTCAGCTAGAATGGGGGTGAGACCGGACAGTGTGCGCACCGCGGATGACGTCAGTGCGCACACTGTGTCTGAGGAGGATGTGCGGAGGTGCTTCAGGAAGGTGAACGCACGCAAAGCTACTGGTCCGGACGGGATTCCCGGCCGCGTCCTCAAGTCATGCGCGGCTCAGCTGGCTGGAGTGTTCACACACATCTTCAACCTTTCCCTCTCTCTGTCTGTAGTCCCAGCCTGCTTCAAAATGGCCACCGTCGTCCCTGTACCCAAATCCTCCACCATCTCCTCATTGAACGACTGGCGACCTGTAGCCCTGACCCCCATCGTAAGCAAATGCTTCGAGAAGCTGGTCAGGGACTTCATCTGCTCTGCACTACCCGACTCACTGGACCCTCTACAGTTCGCATACCGCCACAACAGGTCCACTGATGATGCCATAGCCCTGACACTACACACTGCCCTCTCACACCTGGAGAAGAGAGACACGTATGTGAGAATGCTGTTTGTAGATTACAGCTCAGCATTCAATACCATCGTTCCCTCGAAGCTGGACAGGAAACTGCAGGATCTAGGACTGAGCAGCTCCCTCTGCAGCTGGATCCTTAGCTTCCTGTCTGACAGACGCCAAGTGGTCAGACTGGGCAGCATCACCTCATCCCCCGTCACACTGAACACTGGTGCTCCACAGGGGTGTGTACTGAGCCCTCTCCTGTACTCACTCTACACCTACGACTGCACAGCCACTAACAGCTCCAACATCATTGTGAAGTTTGCGGACGACACTACAGTGGTGGGTCTTATCACCAACGGTGATGAGACGGCTTACAGGGAGGAGGTCAGCGCCCTGACCCACTGGTGTCAAGACAACCATCTCACCCTCAACGTCGCAAAGACAAAGGAGTTGATAGTGGACTTCCGGAGGTG